TCTACTTGCGCGGATTACGACTTAGATTTGATCGCGATTACGATAACGATGATTATGAGATTCGTTTTGAATTCCGTGACAACTATTCATTCAGTGTAAAGGGCCGTAACCCTATTGTATGGCCTGTTCAGTGGACTGTCGGGATGCCAACCAGAGTTACCGTTTTTGCGCCGCCTGCAAAAACAGCGTATGAAGTCTTGCGAGACCACTGCCAAATCATTACGAATTACCAGAAGCATTGTTTGCATGTACTTATTTACTCTGATGTGTCGATGAGCAACCGATTATGTAAACTGATTGTGGGCTGGGCTCGACCCCCTCAAAGAGAGTTGAAACTTTTAGAAATATTACTATATTAACCGTTACGGTAGACTCGCCGTGATAGGTTTAGATAGGAGATGCTTTGTTGTAGCAAAATCTAAGTTTTGCTGCTCCAAAAGCAGGCGCAGAACTACACGCTGATACAGAGCACGGCAAATGTCAAAATAAAATTGGAAAGGTATCAAATGTACCTTGAAAGTTTCATGTCAGCTTAGTCAGGTCGTTGCTTAGAATACAGTGGAATTCTTGGGATTAATGGGACCTCAACTCGCGTACGACCTCTAGACGAGTGCTCTGAACGTTGATTATTGCTAAATATAACGTAGTCCTGATCCGAATCCACAGATCTAATAAACGATGCTGTTAACGTATTTATTCGTAGCCAGGTATGTTTTCATATTCGATACGAATTACAACATCCATACATACACAAGGTATTAGCGAGACACGAATTAGATGATTGTGTTAAGCGCATTGTTCGTACACAAGCGACTGTTTCTTCGTTTTATCAGATCCTATAGGCATATAATATCCTACTACAGCTTGTCTTAATCGTCTTATTGAAACGTTTTTTATCGTTTCAACCAATTTAATTCCTTCCAGCCGGAAAGTGTGCTCAAGTGTGCTACGAAAAATTCGTGTGGCCAATTTCAGATCCTATTTATTATCAAATGTATAATGACTAATTTCATTTGGGCGGTAATTCGTTAGAGCAACGTCCAGAGAATATTGAAAGTACTACAAACTCTTCTGATGAGTTTTGCCATATGTGGCCGACATTGTCGTGCAAAATATTCTTACTTAATGCATATGATACAACCATGCCGTATGCAGACTTTTGTGACCTGTCTTGTTCTCCTGAAGCATCTCCAAGTGCACGAAATTCTTCCAGTACCATCAAGCGCAAGTTAATCTTTTTTGAGTAGTTATCCAACTTCCCGGGAGTTCTATTTTTTTCTTTGTGTCAACGAGCAGACACCGTAAAAACCTGTTATTGTAACCTGCGCATGGCGCTGTTCCAGACGAGATATTAGAGATTGTGCGCTTTATACAATTTGTGAGGCATCGATAAAGCTTCCAGGTATTAAGTAAATTTCATATATTTAAAGACCTGTTGGTAGTCATGTCACTTCCGCTTATCCACTTTCCAGTTGTCCGCTTGTAATCTTCCTTCAAACGCGTTTTTAGGTTCTTCTCATAGACCTAGAATGGTGGGCCCGAGCGGCGTGCATTTTCTAAGGCCAAGGCGCTGCGTTTGAACTTCACAAGTGATTTTTGAGAAATCCTTTCAGGCATCGTATGAAGCATAAATATCCCGGTCTACTATAGTAGCTCTCGCCCCCTCAGCAAACAGGCAAAACGGAGCAGATGTGGAAAATGCATTTACTAGAACATGCATTTTTGAAGTTTGAACTCGCCCTAACTTTTCCGTCTACTATTTAAGGTGAAAGCCCGTTCACTACAAACTGCTAATATGCTTTGAAGAAGAACGTGCATTCTAATGGTACTGAGAGATAAACCAGGAGCAAAAATGCATAAAGAAAAAGGCCATCCTTTATTGCTGTTTTTTTCCAGTAGTAGCATTTTTCTTAAAAATGTGTTACTTATAAAGGTGATTCGAGGTATAAGAGGCAGGTTCTCTTTCTCTTAATAACAACATAAACTCTTCTTACTTGTTTGGATTTTCTGCTCACGTGTTTCTGAAAAAAGTATCGATGGATATTATAAGAGAGGCTTCGTTCAATCGAAATAGAACTACTCAATCTAGAAAATAATTGAAAACGCTTATGAGAAAATCCTCAGCATTGGCACGCTGAACGATAAAAGTAGTGTGTCCGAACCGATACTTTGGTTCAGACCGCTGGCGGGCACTTATCTTCTGACACGAAGCGATCTGTGTACATACGGCCGGTTTCGAATCTAAACCTAAGTACGTACGTCAGCATTGCTCTTCTAAGGGAATCATATTGATTCCCTTAGACTTGCTAAGCACGCCTTCATGCAGAAATGTGCTTACGTATTTTTCATAAGCTCCCCTAATCCAGTCAGTTCGTTCTATTTTCATGTTTACCGCACGTGGCTTGAGACACAATTCTCAACAGGTTAAAGGTTTCGGCTGGTGGACGAAAAACACACAAATGCTATTTTGTTTTGTTACAGCCTTCCGAAAGAAAAGCCTGTACCTTTACAGAAGTGGGCTATGATTAGTTCGCAATACTACTACGATTTCTTAGCACCATGTTAATATTGTACGGAAACCTGGATATCGTCAAATAGTGTTTACATTAGTTGTTCGAACGTTGCGGGGCTTTTGTTGTCAATTAAGAATTGATTTCTTCATTTTAAAAAAACTAACCAATCTAAGGTAATTTTTTTAAATTATCTGTGGCACATAAAAAATGCGACAATAACAATCCAATGCTGACGCCCAATTGGCATCGACGGCCAAACCCGGAGGTGCTGTAACAAAGCTCAGAACCAGCGAAATTATGAAGTTTAATCGAAATAAACATACATATAACTTGACGACAACAATTTTTATATTAGTTCAGAAGCAGATTACTTCTGAAAGCGGAACTTGAAGCAGTTGGGAGATTACCGTGAAATTATCTTCACAGGCGAACCGTCATCCGAAGAGGAGTTTCATTCGGATCAGGATGAGGCAGGTGAACTACAGCAATAGGCCGAAGCAGGACGGTGATCCGTAAAATACGCTAATTTCGTGGACAAAAATCCTGCTCTCGAGGCTATGGATAAGCCGCTTGTGCGCGAATATAGCCAGTAATATCGGTTCTACGATTATCTCGCTGTTATGAAACTTATCACTGGGTCTTCTTTTTCTTTATGATGGTATGATGACGGGAAAAATGCAACTACAGTATCGAGTTTAGAATTGTATATTTTTTAGATCTGTTGAGATTAGTTATTCCTGCTAAACACAAACGTTAATGTTTGACGCGTTGGAGAGTTTCAGCATAAAAACAGCTGCTGTAGTTAATTTCTAGCACGAAATTTGCACGAAATTTCTAGCGTGGGGTTCGGTTTTTCTTTGAGCATAAATGCGGACATTTTAGTTGTTGGTGGAGTATACGCCCATGAGTTTATCGGATTATGTCAAATACCTGTATTTTAAATAAAAGTTAATAAAGAATGTTCCTTAATTTTTGTCTTGTACGGAATTAAGGTGTTACGTGTTCGTCAAAGTTACTCACTGTCTAACCATGTTAGAAGCGCGTCTTTAACATAGAATCTAAGGATACGGGTACTTCTATGAGGATCAGCCCGTTTTAGTGAAATTCGTGATTTGTTTATTGCAATCGCCGTACACCTAACACTCGAATGAGCGAACAGCTCGGGTTACTCAAAACTCGCACAAATACGGCGGACTAGGATAGTTTCTGTTTTGTTCCTGCGTTTTCAATGAAACATTATACTGCGAAGAAGTCTTGGTTTAATCACGGCACGTTCTTTGCCCTGCCCACTTTTAGCCCCAGTATTGACATGCTAATCCACTATGCTAAAAGGGGCAATACTCGTTGTTTACGGCCAGTTTCCATTTAGACTCTGTTTCCTTTTAGCTATAACTGAAATCTGGCGGTGCTTGCTCATTCTCGGAGGGTCATTTGAAGACGACTAGTGGCTTGACAATGTCGGCTACGCGACTTTTTGCTTTTCCATAATTAATCGTATTGATGTCATATGTTTCTCGCGCTTTGGTCAGAGCGACATACAATTACCTTTCAGGCTAAAAGAATTTCGTGTAAAGCATCGACGAATTGTCTACTTCACAAACGCTAGCAAGGTTCAGTTCACCTGCGATACTTATCCCCGAAGGCATTCTTCAGTTTTGGGTAAGGGTGACGTGGTCTGAGTGGCTAATGCGAATCCTCTAATTCGTTGCTACGGTAACCATAAGTAACTTTTTGCCTACTAAATCTCAGCAAATATTACCAGTTATTCATAATCAGAAAGGCAGGGAAGTTTGGTGGGTAGTAGGATAGATCAACGTTGTAATCTGGATTCGCACCCATGCATAGAGTTCGTTTCATGCTGGGAGCCAGCGAGCCAGCCAGCCAGCCGTCCGGCTGATGGAATGCTCGCCTAACGGAGACACCGGACGTTACAATGAAAACCTAGAAGACAGACAAATGTCCTGAATCTCACAGACTGAAAAGAGTTTATCATCGGAACCCAGAACAGCGTTCCATCTTCTGGTGGTACTCTTCTCTGTCAACTGATGACGTTTTGGTTTAACCGAAGTCAGGAACACTTGTCATGAACTTTACATGGCGCACACGAACAGGACACCGATATGCACGTGACCGGTGGGCATTTAAATGTTTTTAATTAAAATAACCGTTATAGGTTAGTGATAAGGTGTTTATAATAAATTTAATAAACTTATTGACCTAGTGATTTTTAGGTTTGAGTTAGGGAGTCCGTAGAAGTTTTTTTTAGGGAGTTTTTACAACTGCGACAGCAAGTAGAACAGTAGGAACAAGCACTCTAAGAAGACGTACCAATTTATGTGGCTTAAAAGTATCTAATGTTAGATTAAAAGACTCGAATTCCAATTCCAAACTGTGTATCCCCAATTGATCCTAGCTAACAATTCAACAACACTAGCGAATGTACCTAGACGAACAAATAATCAAAAACTTTTGTTTTTTTTTTAACATTTAACTAAGTGTTTAATTACAATATATCGACATATGGATCGCATATAGGAATGTATTTAATTGAAAACCTAATCAGGTTTATACTGTTGAAGCTAAGACCTATGCCGTCGGCTAACAGTCCTGGTACACACAATGAATGCACTGTCCTTCCTTTCGTACTCGGTTGAATCTGATCGACTTTCTATCAGTTTGCTATCGAATCGATTATTTGGTCCCACAATAGATGCCCGGTCAAGCTAGTTCTTCCGCAACTCCAACTTTTTCTGCATTTGCTACGGTCGTTTTTATCTAGTAGTTTCGTTTTAGCCACTGGCACACAAACTGTCGGCTATGGTTACAATGTTACGGAACAGTTCGTACTTGTGTGCGGGCGTTCGCAGGTGATACTGGGTGACCAGCTGAGTGCGCAAAAATTTTAGATGTGTGTATAACCTTAAGGCTTGAGCGTGGGCGATGCGGTCGTGGTCGCTGCTGACAGCGAGAAAGCACCGCATCGTAAACACCGGCGCGCAAGGATCCGATAGCATCTGAAACGGGTAGATCAGCCATTAGAAGCGCTAATAATGGTAGAATAATAATCATGATTAATCTCTCAATGTGAAGGTGTCGCGACACGATTGTGTCATCAATTAATTTCAACTTTTTAATGATTCCATGTATATTATCCGTTCAGGCCTTCGCGCCTGCTTCTCCTATAGTAATATTTTTTATTTAAACCGGCATGAGTATGCTTGGTGACATTTGAATTGAATATTTACGTTTACACTGTTATTATTTTTTTATTATTGTTAGCCATATGATGGCGCTGTATCCGAAAGATTTTTTAGATAGGCTGTTGTTCGCGAAATGTGATGGAATACGGGCTTTATTTACTCGCGGTGATTTTTACTATTTTAACTTTTTTGACGTATGGTTTCCCTATCATTAAATGGTAACCGTATTACTTCAGAGTCTGAGTTTGCTTCGCCCTCTGCATCATTGTCAGTTCTGGCTAGGATCTCTACAGGTTCCATAATAAATAATTTCCGGAGCATATCTGGTAGGTTATCGCGCCTGAGGTCGTATAGGTCGAAGGTAGGGTTCACCAGGAAGCATCCCTTGTAGATCTTAGGGTATTTCGCTGTTAGACAAAGTTGGAACATAACAATACGTTAATGACTACTTAGCAGTAAACCTATGTTTTGGATCCCAGTATAAAATAATATTCAAATATTTTGTTGATATACTTTTGTACAAACTAAAATTACTCTTAATTGCCTACCAGCTAAACAATCACTCGAGTACCTACTACGCGCAAAGGTGGAGCCGCAATAGAATGCAAAGATGTCCCCCAGCAAACAAACAATCTCTAATGTTAAAAACGTCATCTGAAACTATTGAAGCGTGCTTTTGGCACAGCTGCATTTTACTTTAACAACAACAACAGCAAAGGTGTTTCTTACTAGCCAGATGAAGTGCAACAGCCCCACCATGACCTTCACCAAGCACCACGACGTGCGTCACGAGTCCGCCTAATTGAGATCGCTGCACAGCGTTGTGGACATCGTCGACGTCAAACGTGCCAACATGACCAGTCAGTGAACGTAGATTCTTTTCGCCGTAGCCTAACACATGCCAAACCCATAAAAAATCGACCTAATGACACGTCTGCTAAATGCGAGATCACTGTAACCGATTAGCAATCAAGGTGCAGGTCTGAAAGCGAACCACCGTTTACGTTACGTCAAGTGTAACGCGATACAAATTCGTTTATGTTCAAATAGGCTGCTGAAATAATTGCAAAAAGGTAACAAATTAGGTAGGCTAACGGGAAAACTGTAGATTTATAATATAGTTTACGTTAATGTGAATGTAACACAAATCAACTAAACTAATTAAATCAACGGCGAAACAGGCGCGGAGCAGAACTCGCGGGTTCATGTAGCATAAACTAAATTCGCTCTGTTATCAAAACTTTGACACGTTTTGTCTTGTTCAGGAATATAAGATGGCCGTCGTGAATGAAGGGTCGGAGCACTCCTTATATGACTTAGGAATGATATTGGTTGCAGCATGCATCACAGATGAAATCGCCTGTCAACTAGGTTACGTATGGATGTTATGGTAAGTTATTTGCTTTAAAAAAGCCAACATAGATGGCCGCTTCTTTTAAAAGCAGACATGACATTTTGGTGCAATAAATAAAACAGGTAAATTACTGTCTTATATCGCTGCATATAATAATAGTGATAATAAAAACGATAACAATAATAATTATATATGTGGTTTCCTTATTAGAAGTACTCTTACCCGTGGACCCTCGATAATTTACCAACAGTAATCCATAATCTAACCGCTGTAGAAACTCATACGCCGAGGAGAACTTCGTCGTGAAAGCGGAATGGGGTCCCCCATGGATGACGACAATCAGCGGGTGGTTTCTATTTTGCGGAAATAAGTGCACTGCGCTATAAAACAGGTCCGGCTGCCGATCAGGCCGCATCTTGCATAACAAAATCACAAAAACCCAATAAAATGAACAGCAGGTTAGGTGTAAACATCTATCGAAAAGGAACGTTACCGATTAGACAAATTAAACAGGTACAATGTTTCATTACAGTGTCTGACCATACGTGAGACCAATATATTTTTGCCCGTGCTTGCCTAAGTAGGCCCAGCTCATAGAACTGTTCATATCTTATTGTCTTTAGTTCGCTTAGCGCCTTCTTCTATGAAAACTAACTCAGCTTTAAGGCGTTTCATCGATTATTATGATATCGATTAAAATCAAGTAGAGTTTTATCGTGTTTACAAGTGAGTATTACCCTATTCCCATTGTAGTTCTTGACCTGGCCACATATCAAAAATAAATGGCCAAGATGAAAAGTATTTGAACGTCGCCGCATTAGCGATTGCAGCTCTATATAAGTATGTCTAAATAAAGCTGACTCGGGTATGTTCGCTTTGTACGTGTAACAGTGACTAAATATCTTGTATAAGGTATTCTATAATACGTGCAGTACAATAGCCTCGTGTATTCGATTCAACTGGTATCTTCACAAGTTATTGCCGGCTAAAGTCTGGATTAGCAGATTACCCGAAACATTTATTTAGGACACCAAGGTTTGAGCTTCTATGCTAATGCAGTAGGTACTGTAATCTTTCAAAGAGAAGCCGCTTCATATATAAATCATTGGGTTTAAAGAAAACAAAAAGAAAAAGATGGTCGCCGAATATATATAGATACCGCCGAAAAAATACCAATAATCATTTAACAAGGTTCAGGGAAGTATAACTCCGGTTATGAAATGCGTAGTCAAATCTTACGTATAGGAAAACGCGATGGCCCCGCTAAATTTGAATCTGTAACACGGCACGACCAATAGGTCTTCAGTAGCAGACAGTTTTAAAGGTAAGAGTTACAGCAGGATGCGTAAAAAAAATCAGCATGCATGCTACAAGGTTGTATAAAATGGGCATACCTCGAAAAGGTCGTTCGTGTAGTTGTAAAATGGCTGGTTTCTATAACTTATTAGTCCGTTGCGTAGTGGACAACCGTAAATTGTTTGATTGTTTTGAAAACTCCACTGCAATCCTGTATCGCAGCGCGTTTTTCGGCCTACTACTAGGTTAGGTCTGTCAGACAGCGATGAACAGGCTAGAAGTATGTAATCACCTTTCACGCAAAGAAGCTGAAATTTATGTAAATACAGTCGACAGTTATGTAGTAACCAGGGGTTCAGTTTTTTTTATTTAACTAATTTAACGCAGGGCATGCTGAAAGACCACCTAAGTTGAAATATGTAGAGGAAATGTAGCACTAAGATATTTTTATTTCCTCTGTTGATTTTTGGACGTTTTAGTCACTTTCAAATTACTTCTACTATCGTTTTGCATATGTAACCTGAAATTCACTTTCAAACAATCGTTGCGGGATTACCACTGTACCCCAAAGTTTCCATAAAAGATTTGGGACCCAGAAACTGCTCCAATTTACACGGGAAAAGTGTATAAAGAATAGCTAGTTGTACAAGTCAATACTTACTCGTAGAAAATTCGTTTTTAGTTTCGAGAGGCAAACAGATTTCCTACCCTGTTTCAAACCTTAACCCAACTGTATTAATTATTGCCTTTACGGTACAATTGCGCCACTGCGGAGACAAAATCTCTATATTAGACTATATGTAGATGACCGCTCACCTCCCACGATAAAAGATCCCGGAAAAGGTTGCGAACCACTTCTGCACTGACATTCATAATAGCCCTGCTCCTTAGGTCAATTTGCAATACTTGGGTAGTGAAATGCCATTGCGTTTGGACATAGAGGAGGTTACCCTCTGCGTTGGTGCAATGAGGAATCAGTTTTGTCTGGTAAAGTCCCGGGAACTCGTCCACTAGAATAAGTATGACGCGAAGAAACAATACAGATGGAGGAATTATTATTATTATAAGTTTAAGTTTGCTGGTCTTATCAAGTCATGTATAGATGATACATTTTTTTCGCTAATCAACCGCACCGTCACTAAGTTTTAAGCCATGTCGGTTTTGAAGTAGTTAATACACCCCAGTACTTATGTTCTGGTCAAAGCCTACTCACAGAAGCAGTGAATCGTGTACGTATTAGATATGCGTTATTAAACAATCACACAGATCAAGGCTCTTCTATTTTAAATAGAAGGCTTCCGGTCGAACAGGCACGTAAATGGTTTAGTCAATACTTGATAGTCATCTGGCGCCGTGAACAAAGAGTAAAGTACATGGAAAAGCGATTCGTTCGAGGGCAAACCGATTCCTTTTTGCCATCCGAAATGTTTTCTTATTTTATGATCGATTAAAATTTGCACACTTACGCGAAATTGTAAATGCTGCCCTATATAATTAGCCGAATTCCGAGCTACGTCCCACAATAGTTAAACCATGTCCCTCTATCATGAAAATGAGTTAATCTCCTAATGAGTTAAGCGATTCCAAAAAACTATACCTACAAAAAGAAGAAGAGCATTCACCCATATTCACCTCGGGGATCCTCAGGTACTGTAGTAATAAGTTTTGCCATTTTACTCTTCCAGTCCACACAATACAATTCAGACGCCTTATCGTTGGTTCCGCCACTTTCATTCTGCAAGTAAAGTAAACAGTCTCCCGGGGCCGAGAAACGCGGCGAATAAATGTATTTGTTACTGTTTCCAATCTCAGTGACAACTCTGGTATCCACGTCGAAATGGTATAGGCGTTGAATGCGGTTCTTACTCACACCTGGACGATACGGTGGCCCATTCGGCATTCCGACGAAGACAACGCCTGGGGCGAAACCCCGAACGGCCCAAAACATCATTCCGTGCGAGCAGATAAAAAAAATCAACAGATCATGACTATTTAGTTAAAGCAAACTCTCAATTACGCAAGCTTATGTTCTACCTAGCGTAGTTGGGTCATAATGCTAGGGATCCGCTAGGGAAATGCAGGAAAAGATACCGACCCGAGTTCAACGTAACCATTCCATGGACGTCTTCCAATGAGCAGCAGCAAATAACAAACCTAACAATCTAAATATACACGGTGGGACAAAAGTGAAACTATGGTGGGGTAGTCGATTTTCACTTAGAAGAACTAACTAGTTAGGTGATTACTTCTGAGTTAAATTAGATGCTGCTTGATCTTAAGTTTATTTTTTCTCTATTGCAAATCTAGCTTATTCCTAATTTTCGATCTACAGCTTCGTCTTGGGTCCACTTTCGCCCTGACCCTGTACATTAAACAGCCAATAATATGCGTTTCCAATTAACCCTCATTGCCTTCGTATATTTGCACGAGAAAAGACATTGACATTTATTTGATTTCAAATGAGCTCCGTACCTTTCCCGTCCGGTGTGAATACAGCCTGCCCCAAGCTGACGTTGGCCATGTGGATCAAAATGAGTTGTAATTTTTCTCTTTTGTGTCGCGATGCCTCAAGAATAGCAACGCGGTCTTCGGCGTCTTCATCAATGTCCACTTCGTTAACATCGCTTTCGTCGTCGTCCGCGTCCCCCTCCATAGCTTCCTCGTAGCCTTTGCTTGCTTCCGGTGGCGCGAGAAGGTCAAAGTTCGCATCGTTCTCAAATGGAGGAAAGAATATTTTCGGCACCTTCAATACGGCGATGATCGGGCACACGGTTTCGTTGTCATAACTAGCCCCAAAGCTAAGTTTTGATTCTGTCATCAAATAAGTAGCACGTACTATTATATATTATGTATAATCATTATTAAAATTATTCAGTATCAGGACGAGCGTGCCATTAATAGTATCTGAAGGGAGGTGCTAGATCGTGGATCAGAGAAATGTGGCTCTGATTTTTTTCTTAGCTATATCTTATTCTAAATGATTGCACAGAGACAGGGGATTTCCGATTGAAAACTTTTGTTTAAACAAGGCGTCTACGATATGAAAAAGTTGTTGAAGCAGCTGTGCCGTGCAAAATCTGCCCACTTGGACACCCAAATATCGATTCGGTATTAATGGCGAATTTGGCAAGGTATGTTCATTTACGTACAGCCGACTGTGACACTGTCGAAGCAAGCGTATGTTCAATCTTCCGTCAAGGAGCCGGATGTCCTGGATGATGATCGGCGGTTATCTGTTTCATCCTCCAATGGCTGCCTTAACGACGTGGTCCACTTCATCAATACTCAAAAATATAAACTATGTCGACTGCTACTGAGTAACTGCCTGTACCAATACACTCAGTCGAATTCTTCAACAAACAAAATACATAGCCAGCCATATTGGGTAACCCCCTATTTAAAGCTCGATCTGTTTATGGTGAAAGCAATATCCGCAGTGTGCTGAAATAGTATGTTAGGACAACATCACGTCTCATCTTGGACTGGGGACTTATCATCCCATTCTATTGACTGCAAGGGACCAGTGTGGAAGTTTGTGAAATATACACATAACGAAGTTGGAAAACACTAGACGACTCTTGTTGAAGAAGGCTGCCATCGAAGCTAGATTGGCACTTATTGCAGTGGATTCCATTACGTGACGCGCGAGGCTGAAGTCGTTATAAACGAAGTTTAGAGCAATTCCCTTGGTGATTTATGATGCTGACCTTTTTTTTTCAATGATGAAATATGTATTACTAATGTTTTTTGAGGCTGTAACAGAATATAATAGCTAGACGGAGCCAAATGAATGATGTATCGGTTTCAAAGAAGCCGATAATAACAACAACTGAATCGGCATCACATTGGCATGTCTAATCCTTCAAATTACGACATTATGATGAACTACATGTAGTTAATCTTTGTGGTATGTTTCTGTGCAGTAAGACTGAAGTCCATTCTGACAATTATAAAATCGGAAAAAAAACCGTGTGTTTTTGTCTGACGTAAAAAGAGAGCATTGAATTAATTAGTACTCTCCTCTCTATGAATCTAAACTGCATCACGTTCGAATGGGGAACTTCGTTTTTTTTAGTCCCTGCAGTAAATGTATGTGGTGAAAAACGCAGACCATTTAACAGAAAAACCCTACTTCCTTCGCTTTGCCTTACGATATTTTGCGATACTGTTAAGAAGGTCAAGAGTACTTAAAAACTACTTCTAACAGGAAACGGTACAAAATTCTTTTTGCAACAAGCGGATTTACAAACATTCCCTACAGCAATAAAAAAAATCAGTTTTTTTTTCCTTTATTTACACAAACCAGTAAAATGTCCTGTTTCGCTATTTTCGTGGTTTTGTAGATCAACTCTACACTTCGTAATCTACTTGCCTGGATTGTAGTTGCCCGTTTTGCTGGACGACCCAAATTTGTGTTCTTTCTTTGCGGATGTCTCCGACATCGGCTCGGGAACGTTCCCGTTCCCCGCAGCGGCGTCCGATTCCGGGTGAGAATTCATCTCCGAAGGCCCACTTGATTTCTGCTGGCACTCAAAGCTATGAAAATACGAAGGGTGACCCGAGTCTGACTTTGAATGATCACTGGAGTTAGATTCCGAGGGGCCATCCGTCCTGGTTGGTAACATCACTGTAGGCTCAACCCTATGCCTTCTCGAGGCCTTTGTTCTTTCTGCCACGAACAAAAGCTTATCTTCTTGGCGAGACCATTCGCATGACGCAAAGTTTCCTACATTTCCGGTATATCACATTAATTACACAAAGTAAACAAGTTATTTGATATAAACAGCTGAAAAATGTAATATATTTGATTCAACTGTAAAATTAGAATACATTCGTATCTACCTCATGTTACAAGGCTAAATCTCGTAATCACAAATTTCTACCTATTAGAAACTCTCAAAAATGTGGCAGCTAAAGACTAAATCAACCCTATAATAAACGAATAAATAACAATCGATATCGAAGCAACCACGAGCAATTTATAAAGTAAGCTGTCCCCTGGCGTTTGCCGACCCCAGTCAAAGTCGTATAATTAAACCCATACAAACGGTCCAATTTTTAATCAATCTGAAGCTTGTGTTGGTACTACTAAGAAAAATAGGCGCGATTTCTGTTGTCGTCATCAAAAGGAAATATGAACCCCTATGATGTGCCTATTTCGATCTTTTGCAGGAACAGAGGAAATCGGCCAATGCAAACGTTATTTACGATATCTTAAAAAAATGTGTGACAATAGTTAATCCGTATTATAGCGCAACCCGCTATATCTATTTCTATCAGTTATATTATAAACCTAGCAAGTTATGCATTCTAATCTCAGTATAGTCATCGAATATACCATTACAATGTATCGGCACTGTCGGAGCAGTCTCGCTATTTAGCATTTTATTGGCAACCTTTTTTACTCCAAGTCACAGACGATAATGTTAAACTACATATATGCTTCGCAATGCACCGTCGGTGCTGCGGGCTTAGTTAAGCATTGACTCAAATGGCTGACGATGCCTTCAGCAACCTGAAAATGAGTTGCGTGTCCGTTTCTAGGTCCCACCTCACTAAGTATACCTAGGTTTAGTGGGGGCAAACATGTACCAACTGTGCGATTATACGAATGTGAGACTAACCTTTGGAAAGTATCCTTCCATGGTAGCCATACTTTTGCGGATCGTAAGTCCACATCTCAGCATCAAGAGCACAAATCGTCAATAGATCGACCTCTTTGCCGCGTCTTAAACATTTTCTGTGCACTGCTTTGCGGCCAAGCTTTCCTTCCGAGGTGGTTATCGAACTGGTCGAACGAAATTCAATCAATCACCCATACAATTTTACAGCTTTTTAACAATTTTATAACAGATTTTGCTTTATTCATGAGACTACAGTACGAATAAGATGTAAACTCTCGTAAAGCTACTGATAAACAGAGTTTCGTTAAACATCCGATTTTATAAGTATTACACTATATAACATTATTCGAAAACAAAGACAAAAAGACCTCATGCGGTTTAAGCAACTAGTGATACATTCACTGTCGTTCAAGCGATAACTTCCTGACTCACATTTAACTTAGCTCGGAATTAATTGACACTATTAGTGAACACTCACATTATCGACGAATGAATATCGGTGGAAGATTGGACACATTTAAATTGGCCCAGCTCGTCTCGACCGTCTTTGCTAAGTTCGGCACGATGCGAAACCGTGAACCCTATTTGTTCCTGGGATTCGGCGTCAATATAGCTCCAGTCCGATGTGACAGTGACATGTTCGTTGGTGACAGATAAATAACCGCGCGTCGGAATCGGAACAGCGGCAGCTTGCTTATAAATAGAATGTATCTGAGCCGAACGCTGTCGTTAGATTCGCATAAACATTATAGACGCAGTTGTATTTAGTCTCATGTTCGTTTCTAGACCAATAGCTAGCAGAGTCAACGTCGCTAACAACGTCAACACGAGGGATACATCGAAAAATGTCCCAATTCATTCACGGTAGACCGACAACTCGGTGAAACAGCAAATACTATTACCGCAGGATCGCAGAAAGTGTTAGCTTCGACAATACACTGAGCGCTTGAATAGTATTGCATAAGAATCGTTGCTAAATTCTCGAGCGGTACAACACTTTGAAACGGGATCTATGAAAGTATATGTTCCATGACATGAAAATAGGACATGTATAGGATAAATAGGACATCGAATCGGAATAGCTGCGTCTGCTACGAGGTGGATTTACGATAGCTACCGAAGCGTGCATTTCACCATAATCGTATACTGCTACAAAAATATAAAGTCAGGTATAGTACACGACAAGTCTGACTAAATCAAAAAACGAAAAAAATATGCAATACATTAGTTGCTCACTACAAAGACAACAGTAATCAGGTATGTGGCAGTGTTTCGCATTGAGTAAAAGTGCTGTGAGTATTAATAAGATGGTAGAAAAAGGTATACCTAACCTTGCAAGTAAACTACTTAGTATTTAAAGCTGTGCTTAGCTTTTCTTTGTTCTCTCTAACATCTCCACGTTTGGAAGTAGGCTTGTGGGGTTTTAATGGAGGCCTTATATATATGTCGCTTCATCGTTGGCCTTACGATATACACACGCCATATTCACTCCCCGGCTGATCCCCAGTCATCATTAAGAATGACGCTTGTACTTTTTACCTTTACATAAAGCAACGCACATTTTTCTTACTTTTGAAAAAAACTTTTACAGCAACGCATTTGCTTACCACGGGTGCTTTTCTTGGGAATTTCGGCACGTTTTGTGAACCCATCGTTTCCATCACCAGGTGGTGCCGTGATATCAAACCAACAAAAGAGGCACTACAGTATGCCCTCGCATTCAAACATAATCTCGCACTTTGATTCTCGCTCACTTTGTAATTCTGATGCGGCTATTCACTCCGCTTAGGTGAAAAGCGCGAAACGAAGTTCTCGGTAGAATTACTGTTTCTGCTACCGCTTCGTAAGAATGCGTAGTTACCTGACAGACACAGAAACCGACTAAACAAATTTTCACTTGACTTAATTTCCATTTCATTAATACAAGGGAGAGGGTTTCAGCAATACGTGTGCTAACGAGGTACACATGAAGGACACACGTGAAAAGTACGCGGCTATGAGGGTGGACGTATGCATCTCGCTGTTTTAGTAGTAATAAAGTCCACACGCTCTAGAACCAGAAGCCATGAAGCACTTAGATAGGCCATTGGTCTATCTGGTCTAGTGGTCTATTGGTACACTATGCTCCCACACAAACTGTTACTTTCGTATATATTCCGAGCGGTTGTCTCCTTCGTCGTAATTTAAGAAGCGATTGTTTGAATTTCGTGGCTAAATCTTCTGCTAGCGTGCAAAACGACTTACGTATATAACTAGGAAGATGTCGTGCTTATAAAGCTGTCAAAAAAGTGGGCGGAGTAGCATGATTGTCTGGAAAGCTACCTGCTTTTCCAGTAAAAAGAAGCTTACCTATTCTAATCTCCATGATTATCGCCTATCCTGTATAATGGATAAAGTGTTTTGGGGGGTTTGCGTGTTTCCTTTGCTAATTTTTTTTTTTCTGTTGCGTTCTGTAATTACAATAATATGTAGTTTCATTACAAACAATCGACGAGAATCCTCGGACAGGCGTATGAACCTGGGTGTGGGCCTTACTAAGTACAGTCAACAGTAAAATACTGCTTCGAGCCGATGATGCCGATTTATGGATGGAATGATCACAAATTAGCAATGGAATTTCACACTATTGACTCTGAGTTATATAGCATATTTTCACATTGGTTTACAAAGGATTATCCTGTCTAGGCATATGATCGAAATATTTTTTTTTTGTCTTTTTAACTGTCGCCATTCAGTGGTATGATCCATTTTGAAATAAATACATCATAACTATTTCTTTGTTCCTTATTTGATTACCTCGGCAGGTTGTGTCCTGCGAAGCAGTAATCCTTATCATGAATTTATCACGACGTTAATTGATAATGTTCATTTGAAATACAATTGTACTTATTGCCGTTTGTTGGATAGTTATCTCATATCGCCAAATTTTACGGCAGCTTCTATTCGACGTAATATAAATATTATATTAAGCTTTATTACACACTGTACAAAAGATATCGAAAGAAGGGGTTTTACATTTCTCAATTATTTAGTACCGCTTTCTTGATCATTGGTCATAATGTTGGCACAATACACCGGAACCGTTCGTAGGGCTTGATCGTCCTTTTGCTACTTCAGTCTTTGACAGCGCCTTAACGGAACCAGTCAAACCAGAGCACAGAGTTGACCATAGCACTTGAATTTGCGTAAGCTCTGTTGTGAATGAGTGATTGTTGGCGTACAGCTTACAGCGGTTCGGGGGGTGCCTATAGAGTTTGAGCCCTTGGCTTGCGTCAACTCACAGGTCAAAACTTCCCAAGAAGAAGAAGTAGGGAGCCTTGATTCCTTCTATATACAATAATAATATCGACAAATCCAAATATAATAATAGTTAACACGAGATACTGTATTATGAGACAGAGTAATAAATCATAAATAACCAGGCTAGCAAGGAAAACGTGTGGCTTTAAGCATAGGCGTGGAAACTTATATTACTGAGAGAAAAAAGGCAGCCCGAATTACTTAGTGGGGTGAAGCCATCTGGATACTGAATGGCGAGCTTTACTATTATCATTAATTTTTCAAAAAATATAATATCACAATCAGTACAAACCTTGTGGGCATGCGCAATCGGGCTGCATGCTCGAAGCTTTACCGGCTCTTGATCACCTGGCAGTATATTATGGCGAAACTCGCCTTTCATATTAGCCACCTTCATATCAATATCAACCAGTGGTATCAATCGAGCTAGACAGGGACATATTGATCGTAAGGTAAGGGAGTCAAGCTGCTAAAAACTCTTAGGGATGCTGACCTGCCAAATAGCCATGGAGTCAATGTAGGGCTCTAAATCGAAGTCGACCCGTTCTTACTTGAATGTGTCCGACCAGTAAAAACATAATAAAAAGAAAACAGAGAGAATGTGGCTTCCATATTTTGGATTGTTTCCGTTTTTTTTGACAGTTATAGAAATCATCTCGATTATAGGCTCGAGATTATCTCCGCGATATTGCCTCGCGATTATTCGTTCACTCTACATTGTGTCGTAAGTTAACACTAGATGTTATATGGTTTAAACTGGCAAAACTGCAGAGCCGAAAGCTACAGGTATCTTTAGGCCTAGAGTCGACCAAAGGTAAACGTAGTGTTAGAGCACTTTTTTTCATCTGCCCAAGATATCTGATGAACAGTTAATATGAGTAACATATAAGCGTACTGCCATCCAAGTAAAGGGCGAGATCTAGATAAAAAGGTATTTTACACGTTAATTAGTTCGCCGGGAACATGACTTATAAGCTTTTACACCTTATTGCACTAGACTTGTTTCAAGTCTAGTGCAATAAGGTGTAAAAGCTTATAAGTACAATCATATATTACATCACATTAGTTTGCTCATGTCCGCGCAAGTGTGCCCCATATACTGTAACAAACGTACAGGGCGGTAGATAGTTCTCAGGTTTCCACTGTTCAAGGTGCAAAATAAGATAGCTCTGCAATTAGGTAAAATTTAAACGTACAATTAACAAACAGCTGAGTAATCAAGCTAGTATTAAAACAAGTAGCACCAGAATAAGCAGGTGGGTCATTTTACATACTGGGAGACGTATGGCCCTTCTCTAATGCAATAGTCGAATATAGTTCCAGCTCAGTTTTTGAAATATTTTTACAATAAACTTCTTTGCCAACGAATGCGCCTCATACTTCATTAGACACAATACCTTAAATGTGACCCTGATTGGAAATTTCAATTCACCGATAACAGCGACATTTTCTAAATCGTGAAAAAGTTGGAAATCATCCGAGCGATTGATCTTTGCATCCACGGTTTATAGGTACGTTGCACACCAAACTTCCAGTGAAAACAGAATCAGTGACACTTCAAAAGGCCGCAGTCTGATCGTACAACATGAATCTTCTACCTGAGATTTTCCTAAGCAATTCTAATAATGGTACATTTCGACGCTTTAAATAATAAGCCAAGAAGCACATATTGAGAAGCCGAAATTGCTAGAACTGTGTCTCCGTATCTTTTTCAATTAGTTATATAGTTATTCAGTGTTTTCCGTCATGTTCCTGCTGTTCTGGTATATAAAAGCTTGTCTGTTTCTATTCAGTAACTGGGTACTCAATCGTAATACGGTAAAACATCGAAGTCAAATAACTAACATATTCATCAGTTTAACGAATCTAGCATGAATAAACTAAACAATTAGCTGATTTTCGCTAGTATTAAAAAAAAGCCTCTGATTGTTATTATATTTATTTGTGTGGTTTGGTTCCAAAGAGAGAAAATTCTTATCTAGCGTTAATTGCATTAAGCTAACGTACGATCGAGCGCCGACGCACCACGCGTTCAAGTTTGTATTACTTAATCGCTTCCACCCGGTACACAGGTGTATTTGAAACTTTTCTTTTTTTATTTAATATATACACCGCTATTTTCTGATTAGTTTAGCGAGTTTCTATGGTTTCCCCAATTCAAACTAGCATCTGAGCTATAAACCATACATAGTTATGGATATTTTTATTTAATAAATGAATAACTTAATAATATCAGGCAATTTATCGTTATTAATCTACGAAGGATATACGGTATAGGCTCTTAGACATCTCTCGAACTATAGAAGCATTATTATTATTATCATCATCATCACCATCATGAATTCATGCGATTCATGCACAGATTATGAGTTCCAAGAACTCTAATCTTGAACAATGTAGTTCTATTTTGACGCTTCCTGAAATCCAACGGGACCTTTAAAAACAAACCACCTGCCAATTTTCTTACGCCTGTCACAAAATCATATTAATAACACTGCTATTCAGAGACCGACTGCATATCAACGATACGTCTATAACTTACGTTTTGGACTTCTCGTAACAGGAATAACTTTTATTTTGCTTAGCTAATCCATACGGTTCAACTACGAGGTCATTAAGTGTGGCTCACTGAGTTCATTTTGTAAATGTAGTAAGCTCTTTCCAGTGGTTGTAAAACGGGGCGAAGAGATGCGTTTGTTCGTGTCTTCGATTTCTGTGAAGATTTTGCTCTCGAGATCACAATATTATAGACGTTGAAGGTGATTATTGCAGAATGTGTGACCCGAACTATAGGGTCTGTTTGAAACATCGATGAGTACCACGCCTATATGAAATCGATTATTTTTTTGTAATGTCGGGGAAAAGCGTGGAAGACAAATAACGAACAAATAAGAAAACAACGTTGAAGACAAACAGCTATCGTAGGCTAAGCTTAACCACATTATCATATGTATATATGTACCTATGTAAAGCATACAAAGAAAAGACAAGACGTTTCTTTATACCCTCCAACCTTTTCCGGAGTCAACACAGCCTAAGACTAACGTTGTCTATTTCGATTACGTGCATGACCTTGTCGCCTGCGTTGGAACTGGGCTTTTTCAAAACGACAATAACAGGACTTACCCACCACCTGCTCGCCCCCCAGTCCTCGCTTGGGCGGAACTTTATATTCGTAATAATTATTATAAGTAGCAATAAGAATATATACTTATAGCAGGATTGCCATAACACAGATCACAATTTTTTTTAAATTTACATTATGCTCCTGTCAAAAGTCACCTGATTGGATTAGCTGTAACTAACGCACTGCGTGAAATGTCAGCGTCCTCCATTTAGATTTGGATCTTAGCCTGGATTTAAATTACGACAATATATATTTCGACCGTATAATTTGCTGAAATCATTCAAGAGGGATAAGTGTAGCACAGAACCTACCTGGCTTAGTATCAGGTAGGCTTTTTATAGAAAAAAAAATTGACTTTGGGGACCTTCTTCCCCGTGGCGTGAATAAATACTTTTGTCTGTTCATTGATTGATGAACCGATCCAAAGGTTCCTTAGAAATTGAAACGGAAATGTAATCCATTCAGTGAATAGTTTGAATTCTCGCTGCTGACGCCTTGACGCGTTATGAAGTCGTACAAGCATGCTTGAAAACCTTCTAAGACTTAGAAGGCCACATCTACACTATAGAGTTGAGCTACACTATAGATAAACGATCCTCTGAAAATCGTTCAAAGCTGATTGCATTAAGATGATTTGCTTTCGGTTAGAAATAGGACAAATGAGCGTCCAAAATATAACAGTAAAACAAAACTGGAGACAGGTGATGCGCTCAATCAGCTTTCCTTAAGAAGAGAATCCCCACGAAACAAGAAACAGTGATCAAAAACGTTGAGGAACACGATTTTATTCTCACATTAATAATATTATTTATTCATAATGACTGCATAATTTTGACATGCCTAACTGAAATAATAAGTTCAAAATACGTTTAATTCTGTTGTTACGTTCAAGCTTGACGACTTACCGTTGATGATAGCCTTGCCATGAAGCCCTTTGTAATAAATGTCGTACACATACAACTGTTTAAACGTGTAAATGTTACCTAATCTATGCTACCTGAGCTACTAGTTGGGTGCAGTGCACGAAATGAAAAAATAAGTTACGATGATGGTTGAATGAATGCCAATAAGGGAATCGTGCTACTGAAAACAAAAAATATCAACTTCATCGAGGGCACTATCATTCAAAAATACACTTTTGAGGTAGAAGTTTAACCTTTGGTTGGCAGAGCTTAACAATTCAAGTGGGTTGGTTTAGTCCATCTCGTTGGCTGTTTTTTTTCAGATTGAAAATTGATATAAACTCTATTTATTATAAAATCGCCGTTCGTTAGAGTATGAAATGTTTTTTTAACAATTTCACTACCCCATACAGATGTCGGGGTCAATTTTAGGGACCTCATATTAGCTTTTTGAATATCATGAAGAATCAGATACGTTTGGGAGAAACAAAACAATTTCTACGGAACTTTCGTCAGTTGTTGCGAGATCCTGGCTGTAATTTCACAATCATGCTCTTTCCACTCTGATATTTTTATCAAATACAAACGATAAAATAATACATATCTTAGTCGTCCCTCGACTTTTCCAGTCCAGGTCTTTTTTTAGTTCCCAACGACTATTTGCACTTAAACGACCCATCTTCCTGCTAAGGCACTGCCGCTGTTTTAAACACGTCTGAACGAAAGGGTACGAACACTTCGAACGACTACGGATTTTGCGATAGATAGGTAGATAAAACTGACTTTTATATTCAGTATATAAGTTAATTATATACTCTCTGACAAACGCCATTGTGACGTGCCGAACGAAGTTAGTACAATACAATACAAAGTTTTCCATTTCTTACTCAATATACTTCACTTCGAATGTCCTCTTCGAGTCGCTTTTGAAGTAGCCATGAACCTCCAAGTTCACTGGTAACAGTCTTCCGTTTTGCTCTCACTTCTAACAACGACTAACAGCAAGCTGAGAAATATCTAAATCGCTTTCATAATAAGTGGTTCCACCAACAACTTCACAGACAAATATATACTCGACGCTGAGTGGTTAAAAATAGAGATAATTCCTAATTCAGTAATTCAAGTGTAGCAGTAAGATTCTTTCTTTTCCATTTTTCGACAAGAATATATCTATTGAAAATCATGGACCGTTAACCATAATTGACATTAAAAAGTAAAAGTTATTAATCAAACGTCTTCCCATCAAGCCAATGATATAAATATAAAAGAATATGTAAACACATTTATTTACTAAATATTCGTTTAGGTATGAGTCAATACGCTAAACGTATAGAATATACAATTTTCACCTTTTTCTTCTTCGCAGCCAGAACATTACTTTTGTCTGACGTAATCCTACAAAATAGATGAAATCCAGCAGAAAATGACGGTAGCCAGAACTCTTTGCAATCACCAGCTCCAACGGCTACGCTTCGGATTCCCACTTATGTCTTGACAATACTCAATGTATGCTATACTTCCGTCGCTAGACGCACCAAGCCGAAAAATTGTTCAAAATACGCGGGCTCTGTTCAATTCGCTTTTTTCCTAACCTCATAGAGTGTCGCGGTTACTCTCGATGCATTTTCTATTAAGTTCTGCAGGTGCCATTAGCACGCAAGCAATACTTTCTGTCTTTCAGAACCGCTCTACAACTGAACGAAACAGCAATAATTTTGTATCTGGAGTGATTTGCCGTCTCGTTTAGAACTTTTAGCACCGTTAGCACTTTGCCTCCACCGTATTCTATCCTATCACATAGATGTCGTTGCTGATTTCTTTCTCGAAACTCGCGATGCAAATGATCATTTATCTTCTAGAAATTTTATCGCCCTAAAATCAGCGAAATCTTTTTTAACCCATCGGGAAAACAGCAATCGAAAGCGTATCCAATAACTTTTTTACTACTAATATTGCATAATTAGTACAATGCAAGCTATCCTAGTCAATGAAGAAACAGTCTTATTGTGTGTTGTCCTTAGAGACCACCCGGTGCTCGTGCAGGCTCGTACCTCACACTGGCTGTCCACTATTGTTGATCGCTGCCACTGTTGTCTGTTTGTTTTATCGGTATCCAAGAGCAGCTGATCGAAGCGGCCATACAGCTCACTAATGGATCCGAATGACCAGCAAACGCAGACTCCCGTCGTTTAACAGAAAAACGGAAATATTTCCAGAGTGTCAATGACAATAACGGCATTGTTGCGGACGAACTGGACTTTCCGGCGCTCCGACAAACAAAGTTGTGATATCCTGTTGAAGTATCTCCGCTACTTCTTGAGCCTGTATTGTGTCATCCCGTAAATATTTCGCCAGAGGCATTCCGCGTTTGGTTCCTCAGTGGTGGATGGGTGTTTGTTTGTGCGTATGTATGTTTACATAATAATCGCTTGCATTTTGCTCGCCGTGTGTAGTCTCACATCTCGAGTTCGCGTAAGGTGAGTGGTGCTTCCGTCGACAGAACATTGGAGATGGATGTAGCCTTGTTCGTTCGCTGGACAAAGTCTTCGACAGCTCTCATTTTCGTGGCCAGTGTATATATTTTTATAGAGGCATTGTTATTATCCTGGAGCGGAACGTAGCGATTATAAAATTAATTATATAGCACAATTGGCAGCAGCAAGAATCAGAGCAGTAGTGATTTTATTTCGGACGAAATCCAACTTCTGGGTGGCATTGACATGTGTTGAAATATTTTGTCCGATTCAATTCCTATAGCGTCCACGCGGCACTAGCAAGGCCTATGGAAAGCAATGTTCTCTACCTAAAACAATGCTTAACGGCAGTATCGGAGGAAAAACTCTAGAGGATCTAACAATAAAAGGCGACAATGGCGTCATTTATTGAGAACTCATGCTGTATTGAGTGGTATGTAAGTGCACATAAAATGTCCAAGTCTTCCTCAATATCACGGTCATAATATGTTTTTATGACATCGTTTAGCTTAATTCGGACTGGATGTTGTGGACTACACTCTCCCGTAATCGAGGAATTTTTTTGCCTTGGCTATTTGTCCGACTCGGTGCTGCCTATGTGTTTGGCTTATCGTGTTACTGGTGTCGTCAGATGTGGTTCTCATGCCCGAACCAGTTGAACGATGCACGTTCGTAGGTAGATGTGTCACGTGAGTCCGTACCAGCCACAGGCTTGCGGAGAACGGTAGCGACTCACAAACGACTATAAACGTGACTCGGATAGATCAGAAATGTGCACGGCACGCCAGGTTCAATCTTAACGAGGCGCTTTTTTTTCGTGCTTTTATAAACAGTGGAAGCAACCGAGTCGATACTGTATTCACTAAAGACTTGAACGTGCGTGGAAAACGTATGGCTCCGTTAAAACGGTACCTATTAGGGTCATTGAAATTCATCTAGCATGAGTAGGGCAGGCCTATCACGGTGGCGTGGAGCAACGTGCTGGGTTCGAAGCAATGTTTATAAAAGAAATAGACGAGCGTCGATTAGCGAAAAGAAATCGTTTTTCTTGTGATACAGCGAATGTGACAGGGTGTTTAACATTGCACAAGGCGAACATGGCAGTTATAAGTGTTCCTTTGATGTGCTGTGTTGTTGCCTTGTAACGTAATAGGATTTCATTTGAATAAATATCTTTATAAGTCACCAAAGCGTAATAGATAACAGAAAAAGAACGGCTACTTTCGTTTTGAAGATATATCATAAACGTCATTGAAAATAGATGATAAAAGCTTTTAGGGTAGTCCGCAACTGGCACAGAAGTTATACGCATCTATAGACTGACATTATATGAATATGCGGCAAGTAGAAACAATAGCTAATTGCTACAGTCAGCAAATCAAATTACCGTTACTAGTAGACGACGATAATTCCGTTGTACTGCATTAACCGTAAAAGAATTTGTTTGTAGGATTTTGTTCTACGAGAGAAGGCACCCTTGTGAGATGGATAGAAAAGAAAGAAAAATTAGTTTGGGAATTATGTGCTCTTACAAGGAAACTTGTGTATCCTTTGCCCGCATGAGGGTTCCGACATCTATTACATGCGGCAGACGAGTGGGATAAATGGTAGATTAGCCGCGAAGAGAACTGTTGTTGTTGTTTTTAGTCGCTATACGGGTCTTAATGAAAACAATGCACTCGCAACCGTGAACTCGGAGCTGCGAACCATAGATAATCGCCTATTTAAACGCAATAATTTGCTTTGTACAGATTAGGGGTCGTTGCCGTTTCTGTGGAACATTCGTTGCACTAAAGGTTGCGCCGTCCCTGTTTCAGCTCCGTGGCCATGCCCACCAGCTGGGCACGTCACTGAGCCCTGAGGGCAGAATCGATCTGGCGATTTTTACCGAGCAAGAGGGACAGCAATAGGAATCCTTTCGGAATAACGAGCGGAGCAGCCACGTCTATGAAAAAAGCTTTGCCCCTTAAATTTGTCGTGACCGCGGACGGTGACTGCTTGCTGATGCTCTCGATGATCATGGTCACATTACTGCTGTTGGTGCTGGGATAAGCCCGGCCTTTATGAGCATGAGTACATGGCTTTATGTCGCAAGGTCTGTGGCTAAATACTAAATAATATGGTGATTGTTTGTATTATGAGTACATGTATCTGCATACACAGTATTAGTATGAGAGACTACAGTGCGCGACTTAGGCGCAAAGCAACTGGTATCCAGCCCATGTGAAAATGTCAGGATGCTAAACATAAACTGAATTAGAGAGTTTGTTTGGAGCACGCTGTTTATTTCGAACTAAAAAATGAATGTGTGTGTGTTGCCAGTTATTGTTGTTTTATTAATAGAAAAATGTATGTTAAATATGTTTATATTTATTTAAAATAATTTTATATTTTATCAATCACTTTGGAGAATGTGTGGATGTTAGTTGTGAATTCTACTATTAGTACTATTGATATGCTGAACGCGTGTTGATTAACTGGTATCGAATAAAATGGAATTGGTTTTCTAAACAGGTATTAAACCAATAGTACCAATTAAAACGGTGTCGGCCAAGCATCAAATCATCGTAGGGCTTCTAGCTTCGGGTAGTAGAGTTTCACTTGACTAAGCAGGTGAATTGTGCACAAATTCGTATAATAAAATTCAGTCAGATAACGCAAAGATGTTGCGTGATCGTATCAAAAGCATTAAATACCCGCATGGTGGAAGCTCATGGACAGGTTCTTGTTCTTTGATGATATGCCCCATGTAGTTATGGCCAACCTCTTTTTTCTTCTAATTAGTCAAAAAATCAGGCCTGAACACATCATCGCTAATTGTGGACTCACATGCACGGGTCATATAGTAATCTGATTTAAGAAGTAATTGTGTCAACTATGATTTGTTGTTAATCGCAAAGGATAACTGATCATTTATAATCATACGACTTAGGACAACGTATGCAATTTATCAATAGCAGAGAATGCGTATGAAAATAGAGTTCATATATTTTGTGTTTCAAGAGCAAACGATAGTATTTTTTTTTAACTTTTAGGTAACAGAACCCATGCACTAATAAAACTGCCTCGCAATGAATACCAAAAATGTTGATACAATAATTAAAAAGCAAGTGATACCTCTCGTGTACACAGACTTAGTGCACTGTAAGGCTAACTTTATGTGCAATCTGTGTTAATTTCAGCAGTGCAAATCCGCTTCACCGCGTCATCAAAACCATTACTGTCGAAAATAGCCATTCGTTGTAGCTAATCAAATCAAGTTCGAGTACGGAATACAAACACAGCACAAAGGTACACCCGTTGAATCAACGCATCAATCGCCAAATAAATCTACTTTCACGAGGTTTTCATTTACTTGTACATTCGTCCCTGTCAAATGGACCCAACAATCAAAAATTTTTAATGTAAGATTAGAACTATCGGCCAACTTGCTCAAATTCTATGTTGTGTCCGCAATAGGTGCATTGATTTTCTTTCATTTAGCGGGCACTTTCCGCGGGTTATTTCTAGCGGTCATTCTAGCGTTGTCTTGCTTCCCCCAGTGCGACCTTTTCAACAATTTGTGACTACAATCGAGCTAATCACACTTCGATTCGTAGTCTAAGAACACAGGTTACAATAACATCGCTAATTCTAGAGCCTACTCAAGCATCGCCACAAGACCGTACAAAAGCAACTCTTTCCCTGCTATCGCTTAGACTAATAAAGTTCTATCATGTTCGGCTTAGCCAATTTTCCCTTGTCCATAGAGTTAGTCATGGCCTCGCTCGGAATGCGCCCCTTGCTTCGATGCCTTCATCCAGCGAGGCTGACCCCAAACCACTGCGCACCTTACCATGCCCAGCAACAACAATCATCGTCAATGACACAGCAACAACAGCAGCCAGTGCAACAAACCCGGGCGTTGTACACGGCTCAGTCACTCGGGATGGACAAGTTCGTCGAGCAGCGCGAAAGGGTCAAAGCGCAGTTTGGGCCCGATAAAGAACGCTTTATGGCACGTATCCGGGAATATTTCCGACCGATTCCGGCCGAGATAGAAAAGGAAGGTACTGCAGGCTCGTCATCTGGCGCCGCTGCCTGTGACTCCGGCGCCGTAAGTACCGCAAATAGCAGTGGGAGTAACGCCATGGTGTTCACCGAGGACCTTAAAAACGTGGTGAGTTTATGCGAGAGCGACGACGACATTGACCTCTGCGTTCGTATGATGCGGCGGTTCAACGAGCAGACGAAGTCACTCCGCTTCGGTACCTTCGTGTTCGGTCCGGTCGCTATCCGTTTACTTTACGTGCTCGACAAGCCCGACCTGGCCATACAGGTCTTGAAAGACCCACAATTGGCGGGCTTTTTCGACCAGTTCAGCTCGTACCAGATTGCTATGGACCTTCTGTACAAGAAGGGTCGTTACGATGACGTACTAGACCTCTATCAACACATGCGACAGCAGCAGCTCCACGGAACGCGTTTTCCTCGCGACTGTGTTGTGCTGGTACTGGGCGCATGTTACCAAATCTCGACAAAGGAAAGCTACGAGTTTGCATTGAAACTCATTCGTGAAGCGAGGCAAAGCGGAGCCCTGGTCCTGCGCAAGGGTTTGACATTCACTGCGGCATTAGCTCTTAACATGAACGAGCCTAAACTGGCCATGGAACTCCTGGCGCTCACCGCACAAATTAATTATATAACGGTTCGAAACCTTCGATTAATAGCGCTCAGTCATTTAGATCGGTATGAGGATATCTTTCTGGTGTTACGATCGATCATTCATCAATACCATCATTTGAGACAGGGTGATTCGGAGATCTGTCAAGATACTCTTGATCGGTGAGACTTTTTAAAAAAGTTTTATCTATATAATTTTTGAGATTATTTATTTTTGATTAAACCATCACTCGTTGCTTACCAATGATGCAGAAGGTAATGGGATTATAAGGGCAAGCTAGAGTTCAACCGGCGTATGGAAGAGTGCTATAAGATGAAAAAGCTGTTGTACTTCATATACATTAGGTAGTAGGTATAGAACACTGGCATGACGTTGAGACAATGTGAGTACTCATATTAAACACATAAGGGGTTAATAACTTTCGTGTTTCCTGTCCCTCAAAAGAGTCGTGCTTGCATAGCAATGAGATTTGAAATTACATGCATTATGACCTGTGCTATTGCAATTTTGTTTGGCGTCAGAATTCACAAGAATCTGGAAAAGAAAGGTGATACCGAACGGTTGCAACTTTTCTCACAGCTACAACGGGCCCTTAAAGAAGGAAACCATCTCTCGACATCGACAATCGATGAACTTCTCAACCGACCAATGCAACAAAAGTCCAGGGATACTAACCCACCACTGGCCATGTTCAGAGTAGGTTCGACATCTTTGAATGTAATAATTATTTTCATTTATTTCGATGTAGATAAGGATATCTGAGCTGTCTGAAAAGACAAGTAAATACTTATATAACTTAAAGGACTGATTTGAAGTAGGATACGATACGATAAATGAAAAAATCTTTTTAACGTAGTTTCTCAAGCATAGTCTGTCAACTAGAGCCACAATATAAAGAGGTCCGGTGTTATCTGCCAAGCTCACTTGAAGTAGTTGGTTAATTTAAACACGAACGACCTACTTCCTTGAGACGTTCCGATGGTCTCGGCTTAGCTAGCCTTCATTCTAAATAGATACAAACATGGAGCGAGTTTTAAGATACTATAATTAAGATAAGACCCATTGCATGTTTTTGTTTGTCATGCCTTTCGTTGCGGAAAAAATTGTCAACTTTTCAGGATCACCGGTCATTTCCTTCGCCGGATTCTCCCAGCGCGACTCTTCGGCGACCCACCTTAACTCATGGTCCCGATGAATAATATAATAATATTTAATAATTATATAATACAGAAAAAAAGTATTACTGTTTTTTTCTTATAAAATTCGAATACTAAGTTGCTAATGTTATAACAAACAATTGCAGCAATGACAGTTAGATGGAGTAATTTTCTTCTTCTTCTTATTATTATTATTTGCAGCGGTTATGGCAATGAAATTTGTTTCTCCTAAATCATCGATGTTAGATACCTGATATCTGTATTGAAAGAATGGAACATAGACTAGCACAGGAAAACGACACACACGAAGGACATTAATAACTCAATACGAAAAATCTATTCAGCTGATGAAGCTGGTGATATTACGGGAGTACTTAAAGTATCCAGAAGAACCTCATATATAAACAGTAGAATATGTGGTCAAAATACGTCAACAGATACAGAAAACAATGACAAGAAAGCGTATATATAAAAAACGTGACAAAACAAAACCGCTGGAGAAATGTCCACTTTTTGATAATCTTGCGGCGGACCCAGTGGCCGAACAGATCATATCCTGGCGGATATCACGCGGTTATCACTCTCCTCCCGTTTCAACTATTACATTGTACAGAAGGGACATCTAGGTGGAAATTGGTTTGTCCTTGCATTGAACACAACGGATGTGTCTGTGCGAGGTTTCTTGCCACGATACCTCTTGCCCCCACAAGTCGACTGCGCGGCCTGCTGCATTAGCCTGTTCTTGTTGTATCTGTGAACCAGTAATGTTTATTGAGCTGGCTAAAAGAAACGTAGGAAAATTTTAAAAAGGGAAATATATATATATAAAGAGTACTTATTGGTTGGACTGTATTAGGATTCCAGGCCATATTCTGTTGTCTGCTTTTATCATGCTAGGTAGTGTTGTTTATACAAAAAATAAAAAAATCAAATACATAATATGTCACGTCGGTATAAAGAACGATTTTAAGAACAATCAAAATGAAGCGAGACATAAAAGGTAAAAAAAAACTGGCCAAGCCAAAGAATAGTAATTTTGTTACTAGGAGGGACAAGATTGACACATTTTTACGTTCGGTGTCCTTCTAGTGAAATCTAGTCAGTTTTGTTATTTTTGGCGGTCTGCTTTTTTTTTATAACATTCACTGGTAAATACATTCGTGTATAAGTATGCAACGTAAAGCGATGTAAGCAGATTGTATAAAACGAAGAGCGTTTATTAAGGCCAATTGTTTTAATCGCTAGGATGATGAAACAGCCTTGCGTGCGTGCATTAGCAGAATAACGCAGCAAACAAACTACTGATGGGGAACGGCCGATTATTATCAGAAGATCAGAATTCAGCTAAATTAGGAGTAATTGTTGGTAGTAAAAGGAAAACTCAGGGATTGGGTTCTAATAAAATAGATAGTTGTATACGCATAGAAAGAGAAATGATAGGCTGTACCAGAAATAAGGGAACCTAGGAGCAAAATACTAAATAACTATCCATGCTAAGTATGTTCCCTGACGAATGGGTCGGCCATCAAACATGCTGATTTCAAATTAACGCGCAATGTCGTCGAGTTGGATCTTTTTGTCTGGGAACAATAGTCCACATCATTTAGGGATAAACGAATTAGGTAAATGTTGTTTGCTAATATATATAAAAAATAATCATAATCGGATTTACCTCCTGAAAGCTACGGTGGCTGTACTATGTTGAATAGCATAACAAAAACACTCATGAGGGCGACAAAAATAGAAGAGGCAACTATCAATATCGCTTTATATCGTTAATAATCAACCATTTCCAATTATAATCAGTGGCCCATCCTTTTGCTAACTTCAAGACAATGCAAGTAAACAAAGCGTGAACCCAGTTTCAATATTCCGTTCCGTTAATTCGGCGGATATTTAACTTAAACCTAACAGTATGTAGCTAGAAAAAAATGGATTGATATTGGGAATTCATATTTATTGCAGGAGCGAATGTGTTTGTCACCGGTTGACATACGGAGATGCATAGTCGTGGCCTCGACGATACGTCTACTCAAATCTGACTGGAAGAATTCATAGTTATAAGATACGTTGTGACCAATATAAAATAGTCGCTCTGGTTAAATTTTCTCATGCAGATAGAGCACAAACATAGCAGTTTTCTCGATGGTTCGTAGGCGCATATTTAACTAAAACACAGCAATGCAGCAATAACCCCGTTGTACAGATTGTCAAGGATTATGCAGTATATCAGTCTGATTCAGATTTCATCTAATCTACTTAAAATGATCACAGGTATTGTAGGTTATAGCCAATGTTTTAGGTGGACGAGAGATCCTAGTCATCTTTCGTAGCGGGCAATAACGTCGAAATCTCAGCCGGGAAATACGTTTGCCCAGATCTCGATATGGAAATTCAAATGACACAATTATGAACTTATGACAAAAGACCATTATACATTTGAAAACTGTATTCCTACCAAACTCCTATCCTTAAACAGTCCAAAACTGTTGCTCGTTTTTGACTGGCTCTTCATGGACGTAGATCATTTTCCACTGCTATGTTATTTAATACATTTTGTTCGCCTTTACCGTGGTTTCACTTTACAGAGTTTATCGTGGGGCCGGTACTTGCACGCAGCTGCGAGTAGCTTCTGGCATACATCCGAAAGCTGCCTAAAGAAACACACCCGCAAGTATTTTTTTTCACAGTGCTCACTTACGTCCTCTTGACTTAAACCAGATTTGCTGGCCGGCGTCCATTAATCGTAACTACCTATCAATCGTTACCCCTGCTCCAAAAAATTGGTGAACACGGGCACTACTGAATAACGCAGTTTTGTTTCGCGGCATGAAAGTGTCAACGAAGGATTTTTTCCTGTGTGCAGTGATTTATGCTATCTCCAAGGAAAGATCATATCATTCACAATGTTACTTACGCTCGCTTAGCTATTATGTCATTGTACTTTGTTGTTCTAAGTTCGCTAGCACTGTTTGTTTTGAAAGGGGAATCGCCCAATGTAAAGGGGAAAACAAAACTGGATAAGAAAGAAATAATGCAAACAACCACTAAAAGAGCGCTTATCGGATGAAGAATTGCGTGATTCATGATGTTAAAGCAATACAAATTGTGGCTAAGCAATGGCCATTAGAAGTCATTAAGATGTTTTCTTTATTTTGTTAGATCTAGGTGGAAGGCGATTAACAAAAAATATTTTATACATTTTTTTGGTTAGTAAAAATTGGCTTGAAAAGTTATTCGTACCAATTTTAGTAGTAAAATATGTTGTTTATTTTATTGACTTATTTATTTGGTTATATATGAACATCCAGCTGCATGCAAAATGCGCGATCGTTGACGGATAAACCTTCATCTCTGCTTAATCATTATAGTTAGGTGCAATACATTCCATCGTAGTTAATAAAAAATAGGCAATTATTTACTCTGAATTACCATTATATCTATCACTTACTTACTGTTCATTGCTTAATTGTAACTCACTATTAGTAATTCTTATTAATCTTATTATTAAATTTAAACTTGTTAAACGCAAGACACATGTACAGCATTAAGTTAAAGCAGAATTTTTCTTAAATTTTAATAGCATTGTTTACATCAAAGGATGCAAAAATAAAAGATTTTCAGCTTACGTGTCACAGAAATAACTTCGCTTATTTAATAACAGGAAACAGCGGAGAACGTTACAAATCTAGTGCTTTTCACTATTTGGCGTTTAATTATGGGATTTTTTCATTGTGTATGTTAAATTCCTTTATTATTCATTAAAAAAAAGCTTGAAAACTTGAGTCAGTTCAAGTACTATTATATTCAATAGTACTTCAACAGTTCAATCCGACGTAATTTGTAACGCTGGCTTTTTGAAGCGACAAAAATAATAGCTAGACACCAATGGGCCGCTTGCTGAAATCGATGAATCGCGGTGTATAAGAAACTCTCTAAGCCTAGGCACTGAGAACCTCGTATGCTTTCCACGCCTGGGTCGCATATAGGACAGCAACATCTGCCGGGTTCGGGGCTTCAGTGATCCCTCGTCCTACAATGATCACGTCTGCACCCCTTTCGCCGATTGCAATCTGGGGCGTCACGTACTGCTGCCCGAGAGTGTCTCCGCCGCCGTTTATTTTAACACCTGGCGTCATATGCACAAATGAAGAAGACTCGCTGAGCCGGCTTTGGGACACTGCCCCAATTGCAAAATCACTATGCTTCTCAATGATGTCGACACTGGACTTCTTGTAGGCTTCGGTTGTAAGCGTTCCATTCGAACTCATTTCGGCTACCACAATACAGGCGCGTTCGGTGTAAGGTTTCACGCAATTAGCAAGACCCTGAATAACTCCGGGACCCGGGATACCGTGCACGGTCACAAGATCAGCCCATTCAGAGATTCGGTAGATACCCTTAGAATACTGTCTCTGTACAGTTTCACCGATATCACCAAACTTTCGATCTTCGAACAAAAGGAAGTTGTTCTTGCGAGCTAGCTCTTGGAGGCGGGGTATAACCTAAAAGAATAGAGAGTTACAAAACATGTCGCTCTTATAAATGGTACACAAATAAAAATCCATTTAAAGATATACATTTAGCATCAGAACAAAGATGAGCAAAAAGTCTCATATTGCATCAACCTTGTTTAAACATTTTTAAACACAACAAACCTGTCTATAGTCGAAGTCGTCAATGAGATCTATATGAGTTTTAAGAGCACAAACGTACGGACCCAATTGTTCCGCAAGCTGCAACAATTTGTCAGTAGTGGTCACATCAAGAGCTACACATAAGTTCGTCTTCTTCGCGGAAATAATTTCAAATAGGCGTTTGGCAACAGGGTGTCTAGCAGACTTTGCCCGCTCCTCGAATGAAATTCGTGGTTTGACCAAAGTTTTCGCATCGGCTGTTAGGTCAGGACGGACATTCGCGATAAAATCGCGAGCTTTTTTAGCTGTATTAGAAGCGATTTTACCTTTTGAAATAAGAGCAAAAACAAATACCAGTTATGTTATTTCGTGAACACTGCTACAAAGTGAAATATATATATATATATATATATATATTTACGCTTTTATTTATATACATCGCTAATGGGTAAAACGTAAGCTTCAAATGCACGAGTCGCTTCCAACCTTCAGTCTCTAACTGAGTAATAATGCTCGACAAAGTGAAAATCGAATGCAGGTTAACGCCGTGCTCTTTCAAAAATTCTTTTCCACCCTGTTCGCGATCGATTACCGTAAACGCTTCAGTCGCCTGAGAAATGCAACAGTGTACAAAGAAATATTAGTAAGGCAACCTACATATGGCTACTTTAAGACGCTCACTTAGGGTGATTATATATAGATAAACATGTCTTGATTTTTACGCCCCGTACTTAAACCGTTAAAAAAACCTGTTAGTAATAACGTAAAGTGATAACGCGTTTCTTTAACGGCTTACGTACGGGACGTTAAAATGTGCAAAAAATATATACATGTAGATATACAATGTATAACACAACAAACAACTTTTGTCCTACCCTGTATATGTATATCTACACGCTTTTAGTTTTTTTTTTAATTTATTTTTAAATTTGCGCTAAATATACTACTATATTGTCACCTTAAGGCCAACATCTTCGAGCAGTTTCACAGTTTCTAATATAGATGATCCGCTCGTAACGACGTCCTCTACAATTACGATCCTATCTCCTGAAATTATAATTGTTGTACACAGATGTACGCGCTTTACAATTAAATGCCTAATTAGCGTTCAGACGCATACCCATAACATATAGCCATAAGATAATCGAAAATTTACCGAGAGTTGCAAAAAGGAATCAATGAGTACGTCACGATGAGTGCCACTGCGGTGCTCGTTGATAAGAAATATATTACTGCGCACTTGGTGACGTGCGCTGGCCAGACAGAGGGACCGAACTCTATCCGCTGGCAGCTAACCACAGAAACCTTTTTAGGATGCGGTAGCTGTGTGCCTGCTAGAAATTACGATGTTTACGGCTATCGGAGAGAAAAAAAATATATATATATGCTTCTTTTTAAGAAATATAATATTTGCACGTAGACACCTCAAACCAAATCGGTGTCCTTAGCCGCAGATCAGACCTATAGATCTTTTGATCAGCTAACTTATGCTTAATCTTATCTAATAATGTGCTGAATTGCGCTACGATTCAATAGGTATTGATGTGTCGTTTTGTCGTCCAGTCGTGTTTTATTTACTATTCTACATATATGCACGAGTATGCTCTACATTTTTGACGCTATTACGCTCGGCATTACCATTGTTTTCTGTCGTGCGCAAATTCTAATGTCGATTCTACTAGAAAATGTAAATAAGTTATCAGTTAGTTATGACTATCATATGTATATGCATAACACGAGTCAACAAATGTGATTAAATGTAATTGAAAATCTTGAACTTTTTAACTTTGCTTTAAAAATTATTGTGAATAAATCTGAAAACACGCAGCCATAACTAGTTCATTATTTCACTTTTTGTCTAAATATCGGCCATATACCTTGCTGATATTCGCCATCAATTAATTTTTTCGTGCCATAACTTTTGGCTTCCTTCCGCCGAAAAATCATTGATCTGTTCGACCTAGACGAAAGCACAGCAGCTATTGGCAGAGCCGTATAAGGAACGCCGCATAATCGATCGTACTCGACGCCGGCCCGCCGTATCTCACGACCCACCTGTAAATATAGGAAATGACATGAGTAGCACTCGTGTGATAAGCTTCAATCCTAGAATTCTAGGGTCTTTGTCGACAATTTTGAGTCTAACGGTCGACTTACAGCTGGATCTCTATTTATCTCTTATGGCAATAACATATCAATAAATATGTAAATAATAGTACCTATGGGTAAATATGTCCATAACTTGTTAATCAACAAGCTCCGTCTTCTGGGAATCGTCATAATTTGACGATCGCAGTCCGGAATGGCTGAAACGGACTCTCAGTCACGACGCCTCTCTTTTAGTCCCTCCTTGCGACTCAATTTTTTCAGTTTATAGCAAAAGACGCTCAGTTTGGGTTGTGTGAATCTGATCACGTTCCCTATCCGTAACATGGGGTAACAAGAAAGTATTTTGATTCTATGATACTATGAAAAAGCATATTTTTTATACATATATATATGTATATATATTGCTTGAGAAATTATATCATCAAAAAAAATCGTATTGAACGTGTTCGTTGGAGATTGTTGTTGAAGTAATAATATAATAATATAATTGAAGTGTATTAACCATATCTCATAATTATGGAATCTCTTCGACAAGACGCAAATCACATAATCAACAATCTCGATTTAATTGTGATGATACTGACTACAATACCGTCTTTCAACAACGACGCCACATCTTTGGAAATAAACACGCTGACACCACTCACTATATGGATAGAGTCGATTGAAATCAACCGTACTTTTACTTTTTATTCAAGGACCTCATGCTATAGAAAACCACAGAAATATATTTTTGCCGCACTTTGTCTTCGTAACGGTACCGTAAAAATTTTTAAAAACCGTTTAACAGATCGTAAAAATTTACCAGTTGATTTATTTTAAATTCTCGTATAATAAATGTACGGTGAGCGATTTTCTTGACCATATCGAGTATAACGCGCATTATATGATAAAAGAATCATTTGCGCATTATTGAAGGTGTGTGCTTTTATAGACTATCAAGGGCAATACTTTGTTGCACTGTTGTGGGGTCATTCACATTATCTTTGAGTACCGATCTACAAGGAAGTCATTAGGCCTATCAGAACAATGAGCCTGAGAGGATCTATTACTTTACGGTGTAGTCTTTCACTATGAGGCAGTAATTTCCTTGTCGGTTCGTGTTATCTTTTTAAGGAATGCAGAAGAATAGATTACGTACGTCGTATAAAACCTTAAGCTCACTACGTTAGTACCTTGCAATCCCAACCTGATAAAAGGCTTTTTTTAACCTCCCAAAGAACAAATATGCTATATACATATGAAACCATATGAGCATTTATTTGGAGACTGCTGCTTTATGTAATCATCGGCAGCCAATTTCTACCATCACCTAATTATGGCGCTGGGGATAACGCCGGATAACACAGTGGAAGCTAGATGAAGAAAGTAATAAACGACTGCACCTGAAATGTTTCCAAATAAGTCCCGTGTCACCACCTAGGACAGGCGGCCTTAGACAACCGGCAAAACACGAATATGTGCGTGTACGTCCGGTTCCTAACCTAGGTCACCTTATGTGCCCCTAAGTGTTATAGGCAAGCATGCTATCAACAACAGAAATTACGACACTACTTGACAAACATCAAATGAATAATGAAATAAACTTGTAAGCTCAAATATCGATCAAACTAAAAGTAGACACTTACCGCGTCGGCGATATTCGTGAGAAGTTCGGGTTGAGATATGGCAACTCGAAGATCAATGTAAATTGGTGAAGTTACACCACTTTTCAATGTAAACTCGCCGAATTTGACAACACCAGCTTTGAATAGGTCAGCCATTATCATAGAGGAATGAATATCATTTAGGACAAGCTTGCGGTTCTCCATGCCTTCCAAAATCTACTTATGGCGTACAAAGGGACTTCAATGTGGCGATGCTACTGCTACTGCTGTACTCACAGTTGGATCCGTCCGTGTAAATTGCACAATTGAATTTACTGAGTATTATAGCAAAACTGGCAGATATCTCCTACTTTTCAAAAATGTATCTATCTTTACCACCTACCAAATTAATAGAATATTCCTTCAATAGTTGATCAGTCAGGGTTTTTAAGCTAACTCTAGCAATGCTTTCAAACATTCCATTGGACTCACAAATTATAGCATTAAACAAAATCGTTAACGGAAGCACAACTCGAAACTGAGCAGCCGTGTAAAAGCACGCTAGGTCCTTATACGTGGACTGAACTGGCGCGCTCCATATTGATACACCATTTTTGTATTCGTGCTTCTGTTATTTTTTCACAAAAAATGTCCCATCCTTTATAGCCCGCTATTTACGTCAAACTCCAATTTCATTTTCAAATTTTCACCAATCAAAAATCCCTATAGGATTCAACAGGTTGATCCACTAGAAACCAGCTTTTGTCTCACCAAAACAAAGCAAACTAGCAATCCACACGTGGTTTTCATTTGCAGACGGTATGGAAGTCTACGAGGGACCATGTCGCGCCAAAATGTGAGCAAGGGGTAGCAAATTAGGAAAGAAGGACTGGACTAGGGATGATCGGTGAGGATCTTAGAGAGGTTAACTTGAAGTTGAGATGAGAGTGAGCGACATTGAACCGAGTCAGAACATATGGGTGATGTCAAGTATTTAGCACAACTATACGATCACTGGTACTAAGCCTTTAGAAATATTCACCTGTTGTCAACGGTTGCTTTGTGCTAGGGCCAAAAAGAGAACGAGATATATGAAATGGAAAGACTATAATCATCATAGGCCTAAGAAACGTGCTACAGCGATATAAGAGGCCTGAATATTAGCAGCGGAGTACTACCATGGTGCTTTGTCTGCTTTGTTAGCGAAGAATCAATATATTTATACGGTGAAATGGAATAAGGACTCCTAAAAGAAAATTGTCACAACTATCGGATAAAAATTACATTCTGCTTTGTTTGTACATGTCATAGGCGACAGTGTTTGCGACAGCTGCAACCGAATACTCCTCTCATAAACAGCTGACTTTAATATTGAGCTAAAAATTCCGCCCCTCTATTTACACAACAGCTGCCACAGACCGTGGACACAAATTGGGTCTGTCAGAATGATGTGGCCCAATGCTATCATTCGCGCTCATCATATGGAGCTATTCTATACCTAGCTTGTCTGCTATCGAATTGTTTTTCTGTGCCGTGCTTCTAGCTGACAGTTTTGGTGTAATTTCATTCACTGGAACTCTGTATCTATCTGCGGTTCTTCCCGTAACTAACCAATCAACTTTTTTTCTTTTTTAGTTTGTTTCTCTATTTAATTGTTTATCATAATGATCATAATGGATTCATTTTTATATTTGGTAAATGTATCTTCTGTTTAGATCATGTACACGAAATAGGAGTGATTGTTATTATGCTTTGTATATACATATGGATCGCAAATGTATTTGGGTAATTTATTTCTACACATGTCACTCCCATTGGCCTCAGCGGTGGCCTGCTTGATTCAGAAAAGCGCATCCTCAAGACTGATATGAATATATATACAAATAAAATGCTATCATACCGAAATTGGTATAGTATTATTACTACTATCTTATTTATACTATCGCGATATTATTAGAATAAAAACGTGAAAATAATATGAATATGGTATAAATAGAAGGAAATAATCAAGGACACATGAGTTCCCACAGAAAAGTGCTACATTATCCGATTTGATACTTCGACGAAGTTTTAAGCAAAGCAACTTACATAATATTTAAGTTCGATTAATTTTTAGCCCCGTTATTGATATATACAAGGTATGATATCTAAATACGGGGCATTTTTACGATGTGTTTTAGTCTGACCTATCCAAACAAAAACAAACATTTAAAAATGTTCTGTTTGCTAGAAGTGTTAGTTCTGCTAGTCATATATAATTACCACATGCCAGATACAAAAAATACCCACAAAATTACTTTCTAGGCTCATACCAGATTAAGACTACCTTAGAAGAAGAGTGGTCCAAAATGAAGAAAAAAGTTTAACAGGTTAAAAGAAAACGCAAAAAATCCTAAAGATTAAATATCGGAGCTAATCTAGATGAGTTAATAGGCAATTAGTATTCTCTTGTTTAAAATGACCCTTAACTTCTGTGTAAACTAGATGAAAATGTTCTTTGAACAATTTTGATAAATTTTCAAGCTCTTGATTAAACTCTATTGAAAATTTTCCAGTTTCTCCTATAAGAGCTTTCTTGGAATTTTGTAGAAGCCGCGTAAAACTGGCAATAATGTTCGAAAAAAAAATTATCTATTGAAGGGGATTTATCTAGCACATACAGGCTGGGCGATAGCTAATCTCTACTCCAATTCCAAAACAACGCATTTCTTGTTCGTCATGACGAAGGTGTTGTTTTGTTGAAGAAGGAACCAGTTTTTGGCTAGTATCACGAATAGATGAGGTAAAGATATAAATTCCACGTTTAGCTTTCTTTACAAGGCTGTTCTGGTTTCACACAAATAGCGGTATATGAATTTGTTTAATGAAAAAAATCCATATAGTGATTTGATTATTATTATTGCCTCGATTAAGTGTTTCGGCCGTCAATTCTTCGTTTTACTTAGTTTTCGCTTTTCAAGCTAACGTTCGATTTACTGTGCTTTCTTTCAACCCAACGAGATGACGAATGATATCGTAAATCATACCTCTACCGTAAGGTAATCAATCATCACTGTGATTGGTATGTATTTCTATAAAGTCCCCATTTTTGCTCATTGCCGGACCACTTTCATTACCAAACAGAGAAACGGTACATATGCACACACACACACACCGTGAATATAGCCCACGAACTGTCCATATTTTTAATCTGTCTTTACGGACATTTTTCACAGGGTACAGATTTTCGAGTGCTGCTTTCTATAGTAGTGTCTCGGCTACGATTCAAGCAAAAATACATATAAAGTAAATGATGACTCTTTAGTAAACATACCGGCTCAACGGATATTCTCTAGCGAAATCTCGACTTTTTCCACCGCATTTTCCTTATTTGAATTTAAATGTACTCGCAACATGACTCGTTAAATGCAGGCCCTATTTCACGAGCATTTAAGAACCCCTGATATTATCATGCCTTTTCGATGAAGCCCCCTGCATAACTTGAGGATACCTTGTGAGGCCGCCTAGGTTCGAAAAGTGGCGTAGGCACATTTCCTTTCGTGGCGAAAGATGTTAGCCATCTGAAGCAATTCTTAACTAGTACCGTAACACAGACCCATATATGAATCTTCTCTTACGATATCGACCCCGCAAGCACGTTTATTATGGGATTGTCACCATCTAGATATAGTTAACCAACATATTTCAATTAGAGTTACTTTTGAACCAAACTTTCTCTTTTGCTTGGAACTAAAAGCAACTGGGTTCACGCAAAGTGGTACGCGTTACCTTCGTACTTCGATGGCCGATATTGTCAGCTCGTTGTTCTTTATCAACTATCTTAAACGAGTTGCAACAGTAATTTCGTCTGGCCTGATACGGCTGGAACTGCATTATAGCCTGTCTCTTGTAGCTTGTATTCGCTATGATCCCGCAAGAATGGCTGAGAATCAACAGTGTATGGGAGTGCTGTGACGTCGATATTCGTTTCACCACTGTGGTCAGCAGTTCTGGTGTTCTTATCATAAACAGTTGATTATACGGTGATTCAGCTTGGGTGTGTCGAAGTTCTGTGTGAATGCGCCGCTTATTTCGGGTCGATCCTTTCTGCGAAATCTCAAAAGCCGTCTGGCTGCCTGTCTGTCGCAGTAAGCGTTGTCTCGCTTCGCTCTCTCTGCATCTCTCTCTCCCCCCTCCCTCTCTCTCTCTCTCTCTCTCTCACTTCGAACAAGGACCGATATGTTTTATGATCCGGACTGTGGCAAAGATTCGGGTTACCGTCTCGGCAACGCGGAATATGTACCTTCAGGCAACAAATAATGCTAAAAATGTTTCATGGTCGTATCTGCTTCAATAAGATTACTAGTCGTTTGCTGAAAGTGGCTAAACCGTAGAAATTCAAAATTGCCGGCGCTGGCCTCATGTGTATCGAGTATCGGAGCATAAAAGAGGAAGAAATTGAAATGTGACATGCCATTTGCATCTTCGTCGAATGTAAGTGCTGCTGCGACTCCCGTTTAATTCTAAGTGGAACTTATCCCGAAAGAAAATGAGAGAAGTTTAAAGGAGAAACACAAGATAGACTTGTTAGACGTCGATTATATGTTAGACTGTTTCGAAAATGCTTTGATGCATCTGTCAAGGAGTCAACATGTTTCAGATTCCGGGTAATAAAGTGTTGTGACACGTAAATGAACTGGAAGTTCAGTGGCTAAATTTACTTAAAGTGTGCAAGTATCTAACCATAATAGAATCATCGCCTACCAAACCCTATCGGGATGAGTCGATTACAAACAGGTAAGATTTAATCGCTAATTGATTTTACTCATGCAAAGCACTGGTTATTCGGTTATCCGGAGCTATTCAACGGATCAAAATACTTGTATACTTAGAAATATATAAAGTAGATTAACGATATTTTACGACATTTGGTTATGTTATGCAGTGATAGTGTTCTTATACATAGGCCTAAAAGGTATCGCGCATAGGAGCCTCCGCATCGAACTTAAGTGCTACAATCGTTGGGCTAACGGTACAATTCATTAGCGCATACAACATAATGGAAGTTATGCAGCGCCAGATATCGGTCCTGTCTGTGTAGTTTCTTGCATTTCTATCTACCGTAGCAAAACTGGCAAAAACTGCGGATAAGCCTCAACCACCTTTTCCAGCCATTGTCGGATGGACTCTAGGTAGATAAGCGTTTCTGGTAAGTTACACTGGTGTTGCAGGTCCGCAACATATAGCAGCATCTCCATTGACAAATAAACGTAGCTGGCGGAGTGTCTGCAAGCCCAATGCTATCTTGACAAAGGTAGCCTGGACCAGCCTACTAAGCTAAGCTGTGCTGAGGTTTTCTCAGATAGATTTGATGCCATACAAGGCCAGTAATGCAAGCCTGAAATTAAGGAGGCGCATTGCAGTATTCAGGGGAGCAACAATGGCTTTTCTATGGCAGTGCTTACTACTAATGCTTTTACGAAAGCTAGTGGTCGATGGTTTGCTTGAAGAAATCGGCGATAGGCTATGCTACGCCACCTATCGCTTTTGCTGAGGCAGAGAACCAATTTAAATTGCACGGAAGTAAATCTAGAGAAGATGCGAGCCTTTTCACTAGTTGGGCGCTGTTCCATCTTCTGACTTATTACTAGTGGGTAGCACAGACTAGACCGTTTCTCGTATATGATGACGATATGCTCTAGGCATGTCTTTTTTTGCAAACAGTTCCGCAGATTACCTCTGGAGTACGCCACACGTGTTTCCATCTTTCCTGGACTCAATATGTGAAGACCTCATTATCATCATTATTTCTTCTTCATTATTAGTGGTTTCATTAAAATTTCGCAGCATATGCTTCAGGGAGTACGATATCAAGCCTATAAGAAACGCATCGATCGTACTCTTCTACTCGTTCCACCAGCTTTCCGTTTTTCAAGATATATAAACTTAAGTATTGATATTGACTTTTATCGCTGGACGACATCCTTGCTTCAAAACTCGTTACTCGTTGACTAGGCTTAATTAAGTTCGCAGTCATTAAGAGCAAAAGACCGTACGTAAATGTCAAGTCTGTCGGTGCTTCACAGTTCAGAGGTTAGTCAATTTCTCTTACCCCTTAAATATGTCTGAACAAGCGAATACATCTATTATCGCAACAAACGTTCGTGGTTAGATTTAACAAACTTTTAGACTTACAGCCTTCAGCTTATAACGCTTATTAGACATCGCGATATTAAATTATTGGAGTCAATTTGGAACGGCCAGTACTTAGCAGTGCGGCATCTTATAGCAGCTGTCGTGTAGGTTTGAGGAAAAATACTTTTGAACCTTGCCGCTTGTATATCTTTGCCGCCGGCTTCTTACGAGCAGTTTTTGCACCACGTGAAAGTGATATAAGCTAAAAATCTTGTGAAAATAGATTTAACCATATAGTTTGCGATAAATGTGTCCATGTATTTCTCCTTTGAACAATGCCTTACCTCCCCTAAAGCAGGTAGCTTTTCCAGTAGCATTCCGCTACGTAACGAACCACTCTAATCACTTAGCGAGGCGTATTTCTGATTACACCTTCGCTGAATTTTGCTTTTTGCACACGGTAATTTTTTTTAACAGGTTTATAAAACTTACCTCGTAATGCTTTGATGATTGCGGCTAGCGACTTTGACGTACAATGGACATTCGCTTTTTTGTGATACCACCTTAGATCGATACAGAATTACTTCGAAAACTGTTGCCACCTCATAATTACCTGCAGGAACTTGCGTTTGTAAAATGAATTTAATGCTGAGACCCTAGCCGCACGAGCTAGTTTTAGTGATCCACTTTTTTAACGCTTATTTGAGCCTTTGTTAAAAATAGTTCGTATTTCCAGTTGAACGCTTAACCATGTTTATAGATCCTTCGACGAAATAAATCTGCCTCACCAGTTAAAAGTCTGCATAATTATGGTCAAGTAATTATACTCCTTACTGGTTATTGTAGCTGCTGTTTGGCGCTGTAACCACTTTCAATGATGTAGCAACTTGTTTGTAATGTTTTTTTATAATTTTAATGCATCATATTGGTTCGATAAGTTCGACGGTAGGGCTTGTGTGAATGGCCATAAATAGCTTAATTAGCTAATAGCCATTTGTTTTATAGCAAGGCCTAGGTTAAAAAAAAATACGAGTTTCGTACCACAGCGCCTCTGTTGTTTTCATACATGCTGTATGCCAAATATATTTAATATACAAGACGAAGCAGAAGTTACTTAAACATACACACAACACACGTAAGTATTGTATATATATATTAAATGGATATAAAATGACGACCCCAACGTGACCTACATAGGGCGTACAAGCGTTGGATATCAATAGCCGTGCAGATATATATATCTATATTAACACATTCGTTTATATTCTCCGCGGCTATTGATTCGTTGATATTATATTTACATCCGACAGCACGCGTATATTTACCGGGCTATTAATTCACTTGTCCACAGGCAACCCTCTACAATTCGTTGCTGTTAAGATCATGTTCGCGATCCAGTCTAGAGAAAAACTTTGCTCAGTTGGCAAGGACGCTTACGCATTAGTTGAAATGTGTACAAATGGTTCGTGTAACTTTTCGTCGTACATGTTTTTTATAATTTATCTTTATTTTATAGACGCGATGCTCTAGATTTCAGTTACGTTCATGTACAATCGGTGCTGACTAGCAGAGTTGCTGCGAGCTTTCAAAGTGCAGGAGTAGTTAGAGCTACAACCCCATAGCGAGTAATAGCCGCTTCACAATGGTAACAGAACTTACTGAATAGCGGAATATCAACTCTAAGAATAATCTCGAGACCGATCGTTGTGATTGTCTATCCACAGGACATTTCCATTTTATTTGTTTTTTAGGCGTAATTTTCCAGAGAAAATTGTCATTGACATATTTTTGTAGTAAATATATGTGTGAGACCATTTGGATGCAGAGTCATAGTAGGAAAACGAAATTGCAGATGTTATTTTAAGGTGAAGTTAGGAAAATGTCGGTCTCATTTAATGCCGATTTATATAGCGTCATTTCTCTTCTATGCTTCTAATAAGCTTACTAAGTATCCCTAGGTTCTATGAACGTCTTAGGATTAATCCTGCCATTTATTGGCGTTCCGCCCGTGAACTTTTGATAGGTCGACCAGCTATACCAGATCACATATATATACTAAGATAGGCGAAAAAAAGTTTAATTAGATTTTGTCTTTGGAAGTCATCATAAGTGCTTGTCATTTCTAAGAAAGGCGAAGAATAGATTTAGTTTAGGCTTGATTCTTGTAACTTCCAAAACTTAAGTGTGTGATATTGAAAGTACGATATGAGATGAGATTTGCCCTGTTGACACATGGACAACTTCGTCTATTGAATTCTACGAATTGTTTCGTACCTCGCTTGCTACGAATTGCTGCAGGGCTAATGCACTAACCGCATAGCAGTGGAACGTGCCCTAATATCGAACGTAGGTTTTAGTATTGGCCCTTTTCCATCAGGGGCCTAACTACATTATTAGGGTTTAATAAACCTAACCAATCGATACTACAATTGGGTGGCAATTGTATTAAAAGGCATAATCTAGCACTTTCTTTTAAATGTATGATGCACAAAAACTTAGTCTATCCATTTTTTACAACTCTCTTTTTGCAGAAATCTCAAATTCGCAAATACTGGACGAATTCTGCTCCCACACAACGGTGGTGTTTAATGGTAACCGAATCCTAGCATCTGTCTATGGGAGTTTTGCACTCGTTAGAGGACATAAGATTTTGGCATACATTCACGTAGTGCCAAAAGACGTCTGCCGGGAACATAAGTACATATTCTAGTTTGTATAAGTAAATAAAAGTGAATATATATATATATGATGATGTCTTGAATAAAGATCTCGTTTTACCTTGGTGGCCTTGCTACCATTCCTCGTCTGCAATGGCCCTTCAATCAGTCGTATGATGCCATAAAGACTTTAATCGGGATTTGCACCTGTCTTTCTGGATCTATTTTAGATTGTACTACTTGAACGGAAACCTGTTCTGCACCGGCGAAAAACATCCAGCCAACACTTGTTCAGAAAATTTGTTACGTAATTCAGGCCTAACATCGGGCTCAAATGAGATTGAACGCAATAGAAAAAAACTATATTGCGTTGAAAAAGCGACCTACGATGAGAGCAACCAACGCAAAAGTTCAACAAATGGATGGAGCACTGGGGACGACACTGGCTTTATTGGGGGCAATTGTAACGAAATCGAAGTTCTTGATAATGATCGAGATCAAACGACAAACCAGCAACAGGGTCGAAGACTAGCTCCATCAAAACGGTACCAGTCAACATGGCTTGATATCTCACAGTGGCTAAATGTGGTATCTCAAAATGGAAGATGGCAAGAGTCAGCTAGAGTATGTATGAAATATACTTTTTGTCACTATAGTAATTACATATCTGTAACGCAAATAATAGATTGAGTCAGTAGCCAATAATACAGGTAAGAAAAATATAGTAAAATTTTATCATTATTTTATATCATTTTTTTGGAGGTAAGAAAACAATCCATAGTTTTTCTATACAGAGGGGAAAGGTCCCAGTATTAAATAGAAACAAAACGGCTAGAAAAACTTCTTTTAAGTTTAAGTAAAATTCAGCTTTCAAGATACCGAAAAGTTGTATTCAAATTTTTTGAAGTGACATTCAGTCATGAGATAATGGTTGTTATAGTTAGCATTCGCAAGCCATTACTGGAGCTCAGAATCTTTGATGGAGCAAGAAAAAATGTGTTAATTGCATATGAATTTTTTATCAGCGCACCCAGTCTCCTGCCTTCCACTACTAAACCGTTTTTCACTTTATCGCTTAAAAACAACCCATTTTTGTAGACATACGTGTTACATTCACAAATATTGATCTGTAGCTATTTTAATTAAATAGCGGTAGTCAATAATGAAAGGTCACTAATAAAGAGTAATCAATTTATCATAGTAAGAATGATGCTAAAACTTGAAGTTAAGTTGTACGCATAGAATCCTTTCAATGATATATACCGTTCAAGACAAATATACCAGGATAGTTAGCTGCGCCTAATTCGATGTGTTGTACACGCTGTTCACAGATGTCTATTCGAAGGTTAGAATACCCCGAGTGCATCTCTAACTCAAACGAAGTAATCACCTCTTCAGTAGTTCTTTATCCTCTAGCGGTTGCTGGCTATAGTTACGTCCTACACGTCATGAAAAACGGTAAGGGTACATTATCTTCGTGGTCAGGCCTCCTACCTCCGATAAAACGATTGTCATGTTTTATGATAGCGCATATCTGAGCGTAACTATAAGATTTAGATTCGGACTTCATTCAAATCAGTACTTTTCAGGAATAACTAAGTTTTAAAAGGAAAGGAGCTGTTATCGATTATTAATTATCTATTATGATATATTAGATGCAATGCGCACACTATTAGAGAGGTTTATGTCGAAAAATTCTATTTTGGTTCTAAGAGGAAACTAGCCAACTCTGTTCATCTAGATGAGTCAAAGTGCATTTGAAAAACCATTCAGGGTAGGCTTTGCCAGGCGATTTTCGTATCGTTCTGAGAACATTATTTTTCTTTTACTATTATGTGGTGTCGATACGTCTGTGATTTTAATAGGCCTTATACGATTTGTTTCGTTCAAATAACAGAGAGAACATTGATATCATCTGAGCTGGTGGTAAATACAATGCGGCAACTGCGCATCGTCAAACTTTCTCTACGAAAAGATCGTTACCCGGATACGTTTTTGGCGGACGAAGCCCTACCCGGAACATACGCAGTGAGCCCATTATTGCTGGATTCAAAAGTTTACGTGGTCATTTGTAAATACGAACGCCATCATGCTGGCCACAGGTAGCTAAAATCCTGCTTGTTGCCTTCTGTTATACGTCACTGATGCCATTGACAACCAGGAACATTGTTACAGGTTGCGAGATAATGTAATAGAACTTCGATTCATAACCCAAGTTACTTAGTGATTCATTCACTCAAGCTAAGATACGGAAATGCCTTCATACGTATCTTGTTGGTGACTTTGCATCGAAGTAGATGACTAAAGAACTCTTTTTGTTTGTTCACAGACTTTCAAAAACTTGCTACAAAGGAACCGAAATAGTTCACAGAGCTATATTCCTTAAAGACAATGAACCGCTTGTTGCTCAGATTTAGCCAACTGCTAATATCAATTACATATCCGTGAATCTACCATTAGCAGGCACCTTAGCCATTTGGAGATCCTTTTTAGAAGTCCACTTACCTAATGCTATCTTACTTCTACTGAACTTTATGCTATCCAAACGCCATCAGAAATCGAATTTTATTAATTTAACGTTTAGCTATAAATTTCTGTTTCGCCGGGCTGGAATAGGAAGAAGTGAGCAGGCCGATAGGTCTTGCTTTAAAATGCAAACAAATACAAGTGTTATATTCTATATCTTTCTTAGAATAAGCTTTTCAGTAAGCTATTGTCTTTTCTTACATCGCCATCTAGTTATATGTCGTTTAATTAATATAGATGTACTTCGATTAATTAGGACCTTTGAGCGAAATTCATATTTGAATATATTCTATCATGGCTCCGAGCGTCCCAGTCACACATAAATGTATTTTCCAATGCTTATTAACTAAAGACACACGTCGAATAATCTCTTAGGCTTAGAGGAAAAACATCGTTTGTCAATAATATTTCAAGTACCAGTCTAGTGCCAGATTTATGCACTGTCTTTATGCTTTTTAGGGGTCGATTCGCTTGCGGGTACTCGTACTTCTTATGCGGATTATCGGCGTCGACTGCCTATCGAGTCCTGTTACGAGCAGAAATGATAAACAGATGGTGCGAAGCTACCCAGTTCAAAGCTGGTGTAAATGGAGCAGTGCAACTGTCAACACCTCATCGTTGCGGTTCTAAATCGCACCCTGTCTTAGAACAACATAGGATGAGCAATGGTCAAACCTCAGCTGACAGGTTGCGTATTACGATAAGCAGGTCATATTCCGGTGATTGTCAAGGTATCAGCCTTCCAGGTTCGAGACATCCTTTACCGGAACCAAAAACTGAGATGCCTCCCCTTCCAGCCATTCAGGTCATACCCAGTTCAGGCACGCCGGCGTCGATAAAGGTTTGCAGTTATGCGCCCCTTGTTGACTGGCTGCTGTCAAAGGCGAAAAAAACTGAGCACCTTGACAAAAAACCTTCAGTGAATGGTAAGTGAACCAACACATGATGGTTAGGATCGTAAGGATATATAAAATGTTTCAAACTTACATCCCGTACTGCAGATAGCAGACCAATTCCAACAGAAAATAAACCGTATCTCCACGCACAGTCTTCAACGTAGACCGCTTTAGTTGGCAAACACTTTACATTATTACGGGCATTATTATACTAGTATTAAATACTATATGCAACTATTAAGCTGTTACAAGCGAATCCGACGGACTTTGAAATTGAGTAAATTTTGTACAAGCTGGGCTAGAATGATGAGTTTCAATATGCGTTAAAAGTACCTTTTTTTTTTTTTATTCTTACACTATTCCTACACTCTGGACAACTATATTTGCATTTCTAAGCCATATCTATCTACGGCTTCTCAAATTAAATCGATAATGAAATATGCTTGCTATTTTTAACCTGTAATCATATGGACTCAGATCGGGAGAATATGCGGGTGAACCCGACCTTGTGTACTTGTTTTCTAAATCCATGAAATAATCTACGTATGGATATGAGATCTAATGCTGTCATCAAGTAACCATGTTAATGGCCGTGTTAATGGTCCGTACATGTCTATAGGAACTCAAGATATCGGGCTGCGCTCATTGTTTCATTTTTGCCGGGTATCTCATAATAGCAGATACCGGCGATGTTCCTTAATTAATACCATTACCATCACCATATATCCGAATCTACTCGATACTCTCACCGAATTGGATTTCTCTCCAGGGCGATTCGATTCTTTTGCTGGACCGCCCCCTACCTGGCAATAGAGGTTGATCCTTGTCTCACCTATCGCAACCATATGCTTAAGTTGTTTTTTGTTGAGCGAAGTTAAAGGAACTCCACGTGGAGTACGACACACGCATTTCCAGCTGGCTCGAAGCGCACTGTTCTGCGGAAGCTAAGTTCTATAACATCCATTTAGCGTTAGCATAAAGACTTCAAGCTCTGCTTTCGTGAAAAACTTTCGAAACGATTGCGGCAGTAGGTTATTATGCTTCGGGTCGTGACATCTGGCCATTATTTCGCTGGTCTTTAGTACTCCAGTCTCCGTTTTTAAAATGTTTGCACCATTCACATAGTGTGTTTGTTCCTAAGGCCTCTTTTGTATAGCATCTTCACCAATCTTCAATAAATTTCTGGAACGTTACAGTCTTTGGGAGACAAAACCTCACCACTGAGCGTTGATTTTGAAAACTAAATTATATAGATCTTTCTGAACTATTGTTTTTGTTTGGAGTAAGTTTCGCTTTCTAGTAAATTCAACCCTAGAAGACTGGGTTACCAGCCAAATTTCGTTTGTTATATTAGCCCAAAAGTAAATTAATTTCAAAACACGCTGAACTGGCTTGTAACAGCTTTCGAGGATTATATTTCAATTTTATAACTGGCGCTAAACACTGTATGCGTAGCCCTTGACATTGTTTCGTGCTGGAGGCTGTGAAAGGAAAATAAAATGCTTAAATGCTCAACATTTTAGATATAACATTGTTTGATGGTAAAACAAAGCTAGTACATGTAAATATTTCGAATTACGAGTTCAGTATTGACATTAAGCGTTATTTAACTCAACTAGGTCCAGCACGCGACGAAAAATTTGTACGCATGATTTTGAAGTATGTTCCATAAGAAAAATACGAACTAATATAAATACGAGTTAATTTAGGCATCTCGAAGGTGCAAATGATGAATGAAACATTGTATCTATATAAAAGCTGAAGAAATTCATATGGACAAAGGGTTTTGGTTAACTATTTTTCAGTAAAGTTAATGCATAGCATTCTTACGCCTATTTTCCACTGGTGTTTTTATTATTTCGACTAGTAGAACACTGTGTAGACAGGAAGAACTTTGTGCTCTTTTTTGCAGACAAAACCGTACCTGAAATACAAGACCCTGAATCATTGGTCATTGACAATAGTACCAAAAGTCAGGCATGTCCAGCAGGTTTTCTATGCAAAGCCTGCGGTAAAGTTCAACAAATATCGAATCGATACACCTATCAAAGGCATCTCAAGTTGGACGCCCTCCATAAAGCCTATGTAAAGCTCCATGATGTGCAATTTGCGTAAGTAAATGTGTATCTATATTTGTCTATCTATATATAGGAGTCTCAACTTTACGTAAGTTCACATAAGTAAGACTCACATATATAATTCCAAAGTCTGTGAGAGTGAAAAGAATCAGAAAAGTGCTACTGAAATATTTTTAGCACTTCATGAAAACAGAACTACTTTATTAAACGAGTATTTTTACAGATCGCGTTCCATGCGTGAATTAGTACAGAAACGAGTTCTGAAGGCAACAACGAACGATCGGGGTAATAACAGCAAGAGTTTTAAAGATGGTTAGAGTTAGTGAAGTCTACGGGTTGTGACTTGATCGAAAAGGCTCGATACTAATCGAATAAGCTTTTGTCGTACTTCGAAATGACATAAACAAGCCTACCTTTTCAAATTTAAGGTTATCGATCCTAAAGTAATAGAGCCCACGTATCGAGCTACGTTGTATTTGGTTGCGTCTCAGGTCCACGTTTCGATACTACAGAAGTTAATATTAATCGCGCTACCAAGCAAATTTGCTGCTATTTATTTATTATTCAACTATTAATTGTGTAGAATTATAATGCAGTGTCATACAAACATCATTTGCTAATACTGGAATTGTGTGGGTTTTTTTTTCAATAACCGGTGTTTTTCAGTGATCACATAGAGTTAATCGAAGCTAACTGTGGGAAATGCAAAGTGAGTCGTGGTATAGCCGTGGAGACATCGGAACTACGTCACGTTACGAAGCCAACTCGAAAAGTCACCGAATCAAATGTTAAATATGTGGCACAGCGTCGCAGGCTTATACTAAGGTACAACAAAGACTTGAAAATCAGGTTAGTATGTGTATGCGAGTAAAAACGCTAAGTTAAGCAAGAATTTCTTTCATTGAAAGTCTTGATTTACATTATAAAATAGATTAGAAGCAAACGTTTCAGTTAACACGCGCCTTATCTGCTAAAAAGCTTTCGAGATAAGCATGTCTTTTAATAAATGTTTATGGAAGAATACCTAACAAATTTCTATGTTATTCAATTAGATTACCAGAGCTTGCTTATTGGACAACATGGCAATGCGGTACCCAGAAAAACCGCATAAACGTAGCATTTTTCAAGGAATTAGCCAAAAATGGGCTTTGCCAACATGTAGATTGCAGTTTTACTTTCGCAATCACTGCTGTATATTATACGTACTGTGAGTGCTCGGCTTCCAGAAACCTTTTTGCTGCTTGAGCAGCCCAAAACGATAGGTCAAACTGAGATAAGTTTTAAGCGATTTGGTAAATATTGCAAATAAGTATTTGATATCTCCAGGGCTCGTAGGCTTAGATTGTATAACACTCTTTATCATTCTCAACCAACGACTTTAGTCAGCAGGCGTGGTTCTCGATTTGTCCGGAAGAGATTGCTCGCCATATCGGCTCTCGTTTGAAGAAACTGCAACTTAAGTTGGGTCGACGGATTCGGATTCTAGAGCCGTTCTGCGGCGCTGGAGGAAATGCCATTAATTGTGCGAGAATGCCGCACGTTGAACGCGTTTATGCGTTCGACATAGACGCGAATGAGGTGAGCTCACAATTGACTACTGATCTTTTGTGGTTCACCTACTTGTATAAATATTAACGTGATGATTAATAATTTACAATTAAGGAATGAAATTAAGTGTATATGAAAGATTGAGTTTATTCCAAAACATTTGCTCAACAGAATTTAACTAAACAAATTTCAATAATACGAGGCTCCACGCAATTAAACCACATGAACAAACGAGCCGCTTAAGCGGTCGTACGCTTGGAACATTAGCCATTATGTATACAAGTACATGTGACCAGAAAAGAAAGTGGTATTTTGAGGGAGGGGAAAACTTCGTGGTAATTGATGAGATAACGCTCTTTAATTGAGTCATTGCCACTAAAAAGGAAGAAACACTGAAAAGCGAATATATCTACCAAGAGACATATGTTTTTTCAGTACAGGAGGATCCACATGCCAAGGAAAATGATTTTGTACATTTCTAATTAAATACATGAAGACATACTTAACCCAACTTAACCCTTAATTTGTTGAAAACATAAGTCTGTTGAAACATTGATTGAAGATGTGGTTCCTGCATAGGCGTTTGCACAGGTTTAAAAAAGACAAAAAAAAAGGGAACGACTCTTTTTCTGAATAGTACAGAAGCATTTTATTTTCCCGGCATTTAGACCCTTATTTGGTTTGTTTTTCTTTTGTTGGGATCCATTGCAATCTGATATGCAGCTATAGATACCCCGCCATTGTGCCTTGCTATTTAACTATCTTTATTTTCTATTGTTTTATCGTTGCCCGCCAACGTCCTCTTTTGAATAACTAAAAAAATAAATACATTTTGAGTTCGATAATTCGGTCTATATTTTATTGCTTTTGTGTGTACCTTCTAAGCTTCATTCAGTTACAGTCAGATACTAATGCGTATTTTTTTTTTATTGATTACCGCACGTCGCACAGACATTCAGTGCTCGACAACTTGCTCAATTGTATGATGTCAGCCAGAAGCTTACCATCGTCGCAAAGGACACGCTGTCGTTGCGTCCCGAAGACCTTCCGAACACAGTTGACGCTGTGGTTTTTAGTCCACCTTGGGGCGGCCCCAAATATCAAGACACCGCGATTTACGACCTTGCGTCAATCTGCAAACCTGCCAGCTATAATGAAATTCTCCGTCACTTTTTAACGTTCAGCCGGAGTATGGCCGTGGTTATGCCACGCAACAGCTGTCTCGATCAGTTAGTTCTATCCGCAAGGAAAATTGGTTTCAGTGCAGTGGAACTCGAACAAAATGTCTTGTCTGGAAAGATCAAGACAGTCACCGTCTACTATAACGATCTGGCTAATTAACGCTAAACATTTGTTATAGTTGTGCTTAATTATTAAAATGGAGCTATTAAATATAATATTATATAATAACTACTTATAACTATATAACTACTTAATAACTGTTAAAATAGAATAGTTATTTGACCAACTCGTAACCATTTTTAAGTTGCACACGAGAGCGATAAATAAATTGATTGGGTTCCCTAGCATAACAAAGCTGATTTGTTGATTTATTCACTATATGGTCTACTCTAATAAAAAAAGACTCCATGGAAACGAGATTCATTATTTGTATTTACTGTTTCTAAGTTATCGTCAAATGTTATACAAGATATAGCATTCTCTACTAATATTGATATATTAAACATTATTAATTAGTAGCGTTGATAACATTGATATATTCAATTAATATTGAACAACAACTAGAGGATATCTTGCAAGTGTGACCACAAACGTGCAGGATCACAATATATGTACATGCACTGTACGTGACGAATACATCTTCGTAACTTTGTTAGGAAGAGGACGCATAACACGTTGATGTATCTAACCATTTTATGGTGTTGCAACGTATTTGCCTCGCATCGAACCCTTCTGCGCGGTTTTGTCATCGTTCGTTTTATCGATGCTGTTGGTATATACAAAAAATAGACGCAAATAGAGCTTCAGCTGGTCCTCTTTTATAATTCGATAAGAATTCTTAATTAAATTTGAGACTGCAATAAATATGAATAACATTCAATCTACTTCTTTCAACAATAGAAGGCACTGGACGAGCGAACCCAGTCGACATGGCCGGCATACAATTAGTTAGTTTCGGTTTGTCTGTGTCCTAAGAGACATTTCATTAATAAAACATAATGAGAACAAGTTTTAAGTGGCGGGTTTTATCAATATGTAATCCGTATGTACCATGATTTTAAGAGCTTTATATACGGAACATAGAGTAGACCTGACTAAAAATCTTTAGTAGGCCCAGCGAGAACATATAATGATATTCTGTGTTTGTTAAAAACAAGCTCTTCTTGACTATTGCCCAGTACGCAGATAAGGTAATATTTAATCGTTCGTCTAGTATAATAGTCTGTCTATTACAGCATCCCTGTCTATTGATATATCTAGATCTGCGTCCTTGCGTATTGTGCGTAGCGTGACAGTTCACAGTGACACAAAATTAACCAACCGTTGCTGCTCACGCACGGTATCGAATCGAGATTTCCTACCGTTTTAACTTTATTACGCTAATGTGTTATCCGTTTACTTACTGTACAATCGACCGCCTATGAAACAAAAATAATTAATGTAGCAGATATCTTCTCGGCTTTAGAAAGTTTTACGCTGATCATACGGTATTCCCAGTGACTTCCTTGCTTAAATTTGTTCGTTGTTTAACTTCATTGGTGACTGCCTTGGTTCAACTAACACGTTGCTCACAAATATTGGCCATATTGCACACCTACAATTTTTTTTCTGCATACAGAAACGATATGCTCGAACTAGCAACTTTAATACATAACATAGTAATACTATGTAAAGACATAATAACAATACATATACAAGTGTAATTGAATTTCTCTTGGTAACGGATTAAAACGATTTCATTTGTCTATTTACACATGTTTAAAAAATTTGCTGAGCCATACTACACTTACGTCTCTCAAAATACTACCTACCTGAACTATAATAATTGAGACAAGGAACTATTCAGGCAATTATTTATCTATAAGATAAAAAAGTCATCAGTCACTTTTAATGTGTTTCGGTTCAAAATTATAACCTAGAGACTGCCGTGATATTACCTTAGCCATGGACTTCTTCGTCATATCACAACATGATAGAATTTTGAAATAGTCAGAAAATGAATTTGTCAATTAGAGGTCGTGAGGTGGACGACCACCTGAATTTAGTCTTGAATGAATGCTAGTTTTGTATAGTAGCTACAGTGTTTGGGGCGCTTGGACCTCGATCGCAGCTCCGTAGTATTTCAATTCAATTTTGATAGCAAAAACTACCACAAGACAATGCATAGTGTTATTTTACTGGTGCTAGAATAAATGTGTAGAAATCTACACCCGATATTGCTCTGGGTCAGCTTCAGACGACTGGTGGCCTTAATCGGCACGAAATAATCTTACAGTTCAAAGATTACACTTGCACTGCTTCAATAAAAAAATTTTTTTTTTTTTTTAATTTAGCCTTCACAAAAAATATTTTCGTTTTGTAAACAAGTCTTAATACTATAGGAGAACGTTTCATGAATTGAAGTTGTACGTTATGTTCTATTAATTCAGTACTCTTCTCTGCTATTTAACCAGATCTAACAATAACGTTTAGGAAAGGCGAGCTATATGTTACATTCTGGCCTTTTTACTCTGCAGTAACGGGAATCAAGTGTTATGAATCACCCTACTATGGCTGAACAACATTGCGTGTTCCTGTTACCGTGATACCACTATTCTAACAAATGTAAAGTCTATGCAAAGAAGACTATGTAATGGTTTAACCCTTTTCAGAGGTTTTACTGGTTAATGCAAGAGGTAACTTTTTACAACAGTGGCAAATTGCTTTCTATATTCTAAATGTATTCGCGATAATAATTGTCGCGAAGTACGTTGCGCTTGTTACCATAAGACCAGGTTTTCCGATTGTAGGCAATACATGGTTTAGGTGTTCGCGCTCACTTCCTCTTTTTATTTACGAGATTCTCCAACTTTGCTCGTAAAAAAGGTATTTTTTAGCACGGCTTACTTGTAGTGGCGTGAGAGCCATCAATTTACATATTCTACAGAAAGTAGATTTTTCTTACTCCTAGCGCGGTTGCTACACTTTTGGTTCAAAAAAAAAAAACTAGAACTAGATGATTTACGCTCTTCCGTGGATAGATAGGACACACCATGTATGAATAAGATAATTAAAGTTGAAGATTTTCTTCGGTGGCTTATTTCATAGGATTTGCAAAGTGCTCTTTTGTGCGATAAGCGGGTGCGGTTGGGAGGTTACATTTGACCCAATTTCCCCGACCGCCACGTCCACCATGCCCTACATCAATGCAAGCCGACCACTGCTAGGCAGCAGACAGATACATGGCGTACTGCAAAGATCAACTAAATGCTGCTATGCTGTAAATCACTATGAAGTCAAAGTGAGACACGAACTAATGGTGTATCGACAAATGACAGCTGTCAGGTTATTCGATTTAGCATTTTGAGTCAGATTTGCAGAAGTTTGGTCCCTATTCCAAATAGTTCCCTTGAAGATCTACTTGGCTCTCAATCCACACTGCCGCAGAAAATACGTAGAAGTTAGGCCCGGTATCCATATACCGGGAAACAAAGAGAAACACCGCAATTTGATTTTGAGCCAGCCTAGTCAGTTTATGAACAGATATAAGCAAGGAGTGTCGCTTCTCTTTATTAGCTATCTAAAGAAATATCTGTTGTATTGCATTGTTAAATGCAATAGAACGCGTCATTGGTCCGACATGTGGTTATTCGGGACACATCATTTCAAGACGACTTGGTATAGCTCTCGTACATTTCAGAAGATTTTGCAAATTTCAGCATTGGAATGTAATTGCAAAATCCAACCGCTAACTTTTAGATTCCATAAAACTCTTGGAGGAATTCAATGAACGTTAGCTATGCATTTGAATTTTAATCGAACTAATACTTATAGTACTTGCATTTGAAGAAGGCGTTTCGAGAGTCGGCACCTCTCTGGCATTCGACCTCATTGTCGTCATGAACAGCCAAGCGTCAGAAAATACGGCAAACAATTAACTTACGTGAACTTACCTTTTTTCCGAGCAAGGCTTCGGACTCAGTTCTAGGTATAGTCTATTATTCTGCTTTCCACCGGCTTTAATCGCTTTTCGCATTTAGCCACAAGCAACTGACATGCTCATGCTGTGAACAACCGACTGGATGTAGCCATTCCCTATGCGACATTGACAAACCTCTCCCCTCCTACAAAGAATCACAAGCTTCCCTTCGCCTTCAATTCTGGTGTGTTACTAAAATTGTACTAATATTTCAAAGACCCTTCTTTCGTTCGAATATATCTAACCTAAACTAAGTGTTTCGAGTTTTATGCCCGGCACCTCAGTTAGGCAATCCATAAGCCGGCTGACCCGCATCATGAAGTGTGTTTATGCTCCGATTTAAACCTAGTAATATCTAACAAGACCTGTTAATAATATCGAACTTTAATAATATTTATTTTTATTATATCTTTATTGTTTTGTGCAGTATTGCCTATAGCTCTAGTTATAAAATTGTCAATCACAACAGACAATTCATAGCGCAAACGTATGCATATATACAGCAAGCTGACATTTATTCGTTCTCATAAACAGACAGATGGTCATACATTAGGACATGATTATCACGCATACACAATAGGATTTCTGTTTATTTCTTTATTGCTATTTCTTTGATTTCTTCTTTTTCCTCTTGTTTGACGCAGAGCAACGTAGCTCATCTGCTGTTGTAGAATGCACCAACGGATTAGCGGCACCAAAAGGAATGTAGCGCTGACGAGCATCCTGTTAGGTAGTCATATTAGATGTTAAAAAAAAAAAAAGAATAGGACCGAATATTGGGAATACTGCGGTAATCATATTTCGAATAAGGGGTTAACAGAAAATTGGCAACTTCAAAAGCAGATAAATGCGGAAGCAATGTGCTCCGTATAAAACCATCGTTAATCTCTAAAATCCATATTTTGCACAATTTTCATATTTTCTAAATATTATTCTTGTTTTAATGTTTTCATTGCTTGTACTATGTCTACGATCTTGCATTATACGTCCAGTTTCGAGTTCATATTCCTAGCCAAGGACTGCCCTACTGCGTGTCCTTCAATAAGTACATTACCCAGTCGCCATTATTTCGACGCATCATGAAGAGTCATACTTTTAATTCCTCGACTAAATTAAACCAAACCAAATTTAATGATTTATGAACATCTTTTCGAAAGATAATAAAATATATAAATCATGCAGCGCCGGGAAACCGAACAAATCCCAAAATAATATTTCATAGTCGTTCTTGAAATGGGTGTAATTTTAATGCAAAGCGCGAACCTTGGTTGTAGAAAATACTTTCTTCTCGGTTGGACTGAATTGGATGGCAGGCACTTGAAGCTTTCTGCTAAGGGTAACACTTCCCGCAACACGCAATCGAATGGCTACCGATTCTAATGCGCAATTCATTACGACAGCTGCGTGGTCCTACATTGTTAGTATTGGGTAAAACGCGGAGTAGTGATTAGAATTAGTGAATGAAACTAGCTCTTATTTTTTTAATTTCTGATTCTCAGATGTCTAAAGCGTATCACCATTTCTTGCTCTAAAATATTTTTGATCGCTACTACTAGTGAGGACGCGAAGTGCGTGGCACCTTCAGCTTTGTTAGAACTAATACTAAACTTGTTTTTCTTGCTGACTCTTTTCTGCATAGTTACAACAGTGAGTTATCGGACGATACAAATCTATGAGAATTAATGAGTTTACGCGGTGTACGAACTGCAAGAAATATGCTCATAATGTCCATTTTATAAATTAAGATAAAGAAAAAAAACAGCGGGACAATTATAACGTAAATGCTTCTGCGTTTAACGATGTGTAGAAGGGAATGCTGATCTATAGTATTCGCACCTTTTTTATTCGGGTCTTTACACGGAATTGGGTCCCAGATGAACCAGTGCATTTTGTCCTCTTCAGCTTGGCACCCTTAAGCTCAGACGGTGACGTACCGGGAGCTACGGTTAAGAACCATACACGTTTTCTGGAGTTGAAAGCATCAAAATTTGCAGACATTTATAATTGAAAATAAAACATTATTCATACGTAAATGATTGCATTAAAAGTACTAAGCGGGAAGCCATTTAATAAATAAAATGAATTACATCAGTGGGCGAGTGTTTTGGTGTTATCCAGCATAAACGTGAACGCCAATGGGCACGCATACAGTTGTCGAAACTACAGCACGGTTTAAGCAAAACATTTTACCATGGCACGGTTTTTTTACTCGTTCAAATATAGCATGTTCTTGTTATCTTCACCAGCCATGTTTGTGCACATTTAGCCACAGAAACCAACCGCAAAAATTGATAGTTTCACTACGAGTGCGTCGTTTTAAGAGCCGACCGTCGTTTACTCTATTTAGAGAAATTGATTGATGATACAATCGTAGCAAGTGTTGCCATGTCCCAGAATTCACACTCACGTGTTCTACTGCTACAGAATTAATTTTGTGTTACATTTTTTATTCAATCAATTATTATATTTTTTATTATTTTATATTAGTTCCAACTATTATAACATAAAAACGCGTTGGATCAGTCTTTGTGGTTCTTGCACACGCTTGACAGAGCTGTAGCAAAAATTCAAATGAATGAATATCGTAGTTTTGAGTTATATTATCGATTTTCATTCTATCTTTTCTTTAATAATTGATCAGCGGAAGATGAACGTCGACTGAATGGCCAATTCACTTTCGACTTTACTTACTTTCGTCCATTGGCATCTACAAACATGTTGGAATCGACGGTTGGTGCGAGACTGGGAGAAAAATCCGGCGGAACGCCCGGCTCCGATAAAGATATTGTCCCCATGAACGGGACCGCGATCGAGTCGTCTTTCATATCACTGGCAGCACCACCACCGTTCGATGTCGCCATCAGCAACCTGTCAGAATGCGGAGTCATAACTTGAAAGCTACAAATATCAGTGATGACGTACACACAATGCTCAAACGTTCGGAGAAGATCACACAGACCGTCTGTAATATGCTCAACATTCACAGCGTCATAAAATAAACACTATGACCCTTTTTTCTAACTTCGGGAAGATTTCGATGGTTATCTCAAAGCTGCTGGTTCACATTTCGTCATTCGGAAGCCGCTGGCGTTTAACAGAGATACCGAATTGGACAGTAGTATTAAGATAAGAGACAATTTCAAATTAATACTCCTGCCATAGAAGCTCCTTCTTCTGATGCCAATATCCTTTTTTTGTGACGCCAGTCAAATGTACATTATTGGGGTTTCTGGACAGGTCTGCTTGCTAAGGAACACACGCACACGTTCAAAAACAAGAGCAGACGCTCCGCCAAGAGTCGGGTTTTGATTTCGATTTACAGCGGCCATTGGAAGCGGGCAGTCTGACTACTACGGATTCATCATTCAACCCACGGCTGAAGAACAGTTGGGAAGCTAACGTATGGGTACGCTAGGCCAAGTTATGTCTTGGACGTGAGCGTAGTCGATGAGGGTACGCACGCTTCCAATAAATCTGATTAAGTATGCTGCGTAATCAAAGGAGATAAATAATTTATTAAACTAGCGGTATAAGCGTCTTTTATACGAATTTCGCTAGCTTAAAACCAGATAGGAATACTTTACGAATTAAACTTGTTGTATCTAGTGACCACGAAATAAGTTACCTAGCATTTGTTGCTAGCTGAAACTAGTTGCTTACAATACAGGCAAACCCGATTTATGCAATTTGCCCGAAGCTTTGAATACATTTCGCAGTAATGGCCTTCCGATTCGCGGTAACGCTGTAAATTAAACATAATTTGCCCTGAGCTATTTCAAATACATTTGATCGGAATGATCGTTTGAATTCACAGCGGCTATAATATAGAAAATCCATGCTCTTCGTAATCGAAATAATATTATTATGCCTCAGATAACTGTTCTGTTGTCTATACAATTAATTTAAGCTTTGTATTATAAATAGAATAAATCGATCGACGATGGCGCAAGTAGATCACAGAAACGCAGATTCAAAGCGCTTGTCTGCGCAAACTGAATTTTGGCAGAAATTATAGTCAATGCTTCACCTGACGTCGCGGGCATGACTCGTGAGGGATCGTTCGAATCGAAAAGAGAAAGGGAGATGAAAGGGTGGTGCTCAGTTTTGTGTTGACGATAGAAGTATACCTGATGCTGTTGAACACATTGAGTTGCAAATGGTTGCCGCGTAGGGTGCTGGATAATTTGCTGTGCGAACTTAGGATAGACAGTTTTCATGGTAATTATGCAGAGGTGGAGATTACTGGATTGAAAGTCGAGCGAGCAATGGTAACCCTGTAGTTAGTTTTTTTCGAACAAGTAGTGACGAAGGAGGTAAATAAGTAAGTTGTGAAGAAAATTAACTGGCTGAAAGCGTTCTAGTTGACCTGAACAAGGAAAGTCTACCTTTTCATTATAGAAAGAAGAGGTAGACAAAACAAGGATATTATTGAAGAAAGAAATGAAACTGACGCTATTGAGCATTTTCTGGAGTAGAGCGAAAAATTACATTAACGATTGTCAACTTTTTCAGAATCTCGACGGTCTAAACCAGGTACTATTGCTGAAGTTTGACGAGTTAAAGAAGCAATGGGATTCGAAGGACATTGTCGATTCGGTCATTGTAGCTTTAACCGCCACAGAAAAAGCTGATATCAAAAAAGAGATAGATAACGGCACGTAACTTACATTATCCTCCATCAATCACATCTATTTAATATCAATTGTTATTCAAGTCAATTCATTGAGTTACGTATTAAAAATATACGAAACGCACTCCAACGTTTCTCTATCAATCTTACGTTTCGAGCACGTCGAAAACCAAGTGGTTTCATGTGAGGAATTCATTTCTAAGCAGAGTTTGCTTATTGACTTTTCTCCTTGTGTGTTACAGACATTCGCGACTTAGAAACAAGGTATGGCCTTTCTGAAGGTGCAGCCGAAGAAGTCTTGGCATTTTCTGGTTGGGATCTTTCATCTGCAGAGACAACCATTGAGCGAGCTATTCAAGTCATCGTGCTGGCACATAGGATCCAAATAAAGGAAGGTATCAATGAAGACAGTTCCGCAAATGGTAGTCACTCAAATAGCAATGGTAAGCACAGACCCGGTATTCTTTTTTGTACTTTGCAATACGGGTCTATTCCAAGATAACGTTAGCGTGTGCAAATGCGATCTCCAGAAAAAAGACAACAAGTCCGCTTGAGTCTTACTGTTATTGGTCATAGTTTGGTGCCTGATCGACCTATATATTAGGAAACAAAACTGGCGGAATTCAGAAAATACTTTGAACTTCTTAAAAACTACTGACTATTTTATTTAGCTTCTCTTTAGTTTTGAATTTACAGTAAGAGATATTCCTCGTACTATACATTACAACAAATTAAAGGTGCATATTATATTATGCACATAACTATATATTTTATTTGAGGGATTTGTTACAATGATGCACATGGTTATAATATAAGCAAGCTATTTTCAATAATTTATTTATGTATATTATTTTATGATTGCTTGCGCAGCGCACGGTAGATTCTTGATAGGAACAGATCATTTAGTCAATTTTTAATAAGTATCGGCGAATTCGGCAAAGCAATGAGTTTTGATAAAATGTTTCTGTTAGATTTGGCGTTTGTCTCGACCGTACCGAATGTTACTGTTTTTAAACTTAAATGATGCTGCTTGATACGTTCGAACATTCGTATGTCACTAATGCTGAATCCATCAGGAACTGGCGAGATTTTTTGCTTCTTTCCCCTCATACTAATATATGAAGGCAGCGCGTTTTGCATATGTGCTCCGAAATTTCCCTAAGCCATTCGATGTCGATATCACACAGATGCCTTGAATAGCCTGATATACAAAATTGAGTAGACTTTGATTTCAAAGTTAATGAGTGTAAAATATATTGGAGATGCGTATTACGCGAAAAATTATCTTTAGCATGTTCAGTGTATCTTAGGGCACCTGTCATGGCAACCTCTAAATCTGGAATAATTCTTACTGTTTTTAGGCTGAATTAGCCGACGAAATATAGATAACTGAGATTTCCGCACCCGAAATGTGGAACGGCGCATTTTTTAATCGATTGTTTTAAACCTAGCCTATTATTATATTCTAAAAACGTCTCTATAGTATCTTGTAATAACAAGCGGCCACCGCCTTGCATAACTTTTAATCTTGCATATATTTGCACATCATTTGCATCACATTTTTACAAACACCGACAGCGGTAATATGTACACTATTTATTTTATATACAAAGTGGACATGAGATGTCTCAGAATTTTCCTTCAAAGACAACCCGAAGCGGATCTAATGGTATTTGGTTATGTGTTATTGACTTCTGAACAGAAAATACGATCGCTGAGAAAACTTTGGATCCACTTCGCCAGTCAATTACTGCAGTTAAAACAATAAAGCAACTTAAGAAACCTGGAATGAATGGCTCGTTCGAATGCTGATTTGAAATCGAAGTAAACCACGTCGAAACGTTGAGACATTTTGATGAAGATTTGCGTACTAAAATTGTGTTTCTATGTTAGCTGTGGACTGGTGTTTTGTCCTGACCTGTAGGCAATGACCTGGTAATCGCTTACAGACTGACCATCAGATATCGAGCGTGTTAATATTCATCCACACAAATGACGCTTTCTAACAGCTAAGGTGCTACGATTAGTAATGTTGGCCTTTTATTGGTAGGCTTAATCCATGATTCTTTCTTGTATACCTGCACACCCATGGTTGTTCGAAATCTGTCTGGCGCCTGAACGCTTCCGAGAGATTGTCTGAAATTCGTTACAGATCTCAAGCTTGTAGTATACGCAAGATGGAAGCCTGTTCGCAGTCTCACTAGTTCTATCTTTCATATTGCTAGCGATATCTTCAGGTGCTCTATCTTTATTGGGTTGACATTCGCATCGTGTTCAATAAAGTGGAGCGGGCCCTTAGAAAACAGTAAACCATCCAATTGATTGCATCATGGCGATTCATCGGTCGGCTGATATGTACTTTTTTGCTTTTATCTGCCATTCATAAACAATCTGAACGCCTAATAAAGCTCAGTAAGCTCAAAAACGTTGCAAAAGCACCGTTATTCTTTCACAAATATAATGGAAAATAGCCTTTAGGCCATTACTTCGTTGAATACTGTTTACTCTGGTACCTGGTTGTTTTTCGATTGCTTTATTAAGGTTGCGATCCTTTGCTAATCATATTGTTTTTCTAGAAATAAATGTAGCTGATATACTTAAAGCACGGTTGCAGATTAACGAATAAGTACTGTAAATAACGCGTAAGCAAGAACCGTGCGTTTTACCTGTGTGGAACGCGTTCATTCATTAGCTAGTGAGTTAGTGAGCTAGTGATAAGTATTCGTACATGCTGTTCACATCTGTGCAGTTGTCAAAGACATCTTCTGGTTTATTTATTATTATTACTATTATTTATTATTATAAATAAATTATTTATTTACATACTGGATTATAACTTCGTTTTGGATAGTTGATCTTCGATAATATAATCCGTGGTTACGTCGCATATCATCGATTAGGAGTCATGCTGCAGAGCAAGATTCTAAGCCCGAATTTTCACGTACAATCCTACGGTAGTTTGAAACTTTATTATCGTCTTGTTACCATATTGTTGTAATCGACGTCAAGTGCCTCGACATAGAACATACTATCATTGCTGAAAATATTTATTTTCTGGGCTATTATGGAGTGCTCTGGTCCCTGAAGTGTTCATATAACGCACTCCCCTTGGGCGCTATTTTATAGTTGGTTTGTGCAGTGGCCGGTTGGCAGGTAAAATAGCGGCTATTATTACGGTTGCATGCAGCCATACATCCTCGACCATCAGTGCGCTCAGCTTTCGTTGTCAGTCTGATACAGCTTCTGGTAAGAAGCTGCCATTAATCTCCCATCAATGCGCTTTTTGCTAGCTTTTCGTCGTTCCCAAGGAGCGGCCATTTTTTGTTGTTTCTTTGTGTGGCTCTTTGTTAACTTTGCACAATTGACTTTTTACAAAGTCCACGTTGGTCCCATCACTAATATTGGCTAATGTTAAACCACTGCACCCTAAGTGTATATAGTTGTTAGACATAATAATACGTTTTACTGTCATCTCTCTGTTGAAAGAATTACGCAGCAGAATTTATGCAGAAGTACCATTCAGTTTGTTGCCGATTAATTACTAGAATTAATATTTTTTTTTAAGGACACTTTGACTAACGTTGATTCTTAGCCGACTGCCGAATACGGTTACTTTTCAATGTTTGCTCGCAAAAATAAACAAATAACGCGTCGCGCCTTTTAAGGCCGTTATCTTCGCTCATTAACGTTTGGTTATTTTTTTTATATATCTCATATGTTCCAGGAACTATTACTGACCCCGATTTCGCCCCGTTGCAGCTCGCCAGAGCCACTCCGGATCGCAAGCGAAGATTTCAGTGCGAACACTGCCAAAAAACATTCCCTTATCGATCCCGACTGGTTGCCCATGTCGTCACGCACACGGGAGAGAAATCCTTCGAATGCAGCCACTGCTCAAGTCGATTTGGCCGAGAGGATCTTTTAATCATTCACGAACGTTTCCACTTGAACGACAAGCCATATCGATGTAAAATACGAGGTTGTAATGCGCGATTCACCGCATCAAAGTACCTGACAATGCATAGCCGAACCCATGACGACAATCGCCTCTACAAGTGCAAAGTATGCTCAAGCACTTTTCGGACTTCAGCTCACCTTCGCTGCCATATGCAGTATCATGGCGGTGATGAAGGACGGACTCGCTGTAAAGTCTGCGATCAGCAGATGTTTATTAGCAGTCTTCGACGGCATATGTTTTTACACGGAAAAGATGGCTTAACACGCGACAGACCGCTGGAGTGCGAAATCTGCGGAGCGAAAATGCGCGACACGTTCCAGCTACAAGTTCACTCCCGAATACATACTGGGGTACGACCTTTCGCTTGTGAACATTGTGACCGATTCTTCGGGTCGACCAACACTTTACAGAAACACCGGCGCACTCATACACTGGAGAAGCCTTTCACGTGCGCCACGTGCGGATCAGCATTCGCTCGGAAGGATACCTTATCAGTACATGAACGATCACATCGAGGGGAGCGACCGTTCTCATGCAAAGAATGCCCAAGAAAATTCACACAAAGAGCGCATCTGTTTCGGCATGTGAAAAGTTTGCACAGCGACAAAGTGGTCAAGGTTCAGGCATCGGCACGACGTCGGGATGAAAACATTGCTGCAAAGCCAATATCTACATGCTGACGTTTGTTAGTTACTTCAACGACAGCCTTCGACACTGCCTTACGCTGGACCAGCAAGATTACTCGTGTCAAATATAAAATTATTATGTCTAATAATATTATTTACTATCGGATAATATTATAAGAAATATATGTTAAGCCATAGATGAGTTGTGATCTTTGCTTGATGCCAACTGTTTATTTCGCAAATCTCAATCTTCGGCTCGTTTAGAAAGGAAGAACTTTTGTAGTCGATTGCTCACGTTAACGGTGTACTTCCTGCACACTTATAAACAATGAGTCCGTTCGAATTGATATAAATGATCGAAACGAACAAAATAGGTATTGAAATGAAAAACTAGTCGTTAATATCTATATTAATTGCTGTTTCTCAGCTGTCCCATCTCCTACAGGGCTTCGGACTGTTATTTTCAGCATTCTTATACTTTCCTATTGCTATTTTTACTAAACGGTCTTGGCCTACCTAAGGCCAAATTTAAACCTTGAGATACCTATTTAGGTGACTTTAAAGTACGGAAGGAGATAGAAAAGATAAACCTCTTGGCGAAGCCAACTCTTATAGATACGAAACGTTAGTGGCTATTATAAGTAATACAGAAAGGTGAATCATTCAATTAATGGTATTTTATACGAAGAAATCTGATCCAAATACTGCATTTGTATAGCCTCCGCGTATATCTAGGTATATAGCTAAACCCAAACTAGAGACTACCTTTTTTAATGACAACATTTTGAATATCTGGATAGTAGTATTAGTAAGGTATAGAGAACCATGAGCACAATCCAATGAATAAACTTCACAGTGATGACTTGACCAGTCCATTTAGCTGTAAACTTAACCATTAGAACTTAGAACAACTCCTTAGTGAATTATTATTTTGTTCCATATAGGCAACTCCTAAAAATGCTTTTTTAGTAGGACAGGGCGCGATAAATAGCTGTTGTGCCATATAAATGCTCTTCATTTAAGTTCTTGTCTACTAACAAATACTGTTGACGAGTTGTGGTACTGAATTACCATAGCAGATAAGACTATCTCTCCTGAACGAAGCATTTTGTTGAAAGACTGTTCCCGTGAACAAGGAGAAAAACAACTGCAAATTATCAAGTTGAAGAATTTTCAAATTTAGTGAGAGAAACTTACGCGCCCTGTGCTGGGTACTGGAAGTGATGCTCTATATATTTTTGAATTCTTTTTCTCACGTCAATTTTTAAATAAATGTGTATTCCGAAAAATTCCAAAGGGTTCCATGTTTCCCATGTTCCAAATTTTTGTTGATCCCCTTGAAGCAGTATAAATTCTAAACCAATTTAAAGCAATATTATAATCACCTTCAAATCTAAACCAGAGCACACGGAAACCAACGTCTGGTGAATTGAAGTTCCGTAGTACCAGACGAATACCCCGGCAGCAGGGTCTGAACCGTTAAATATGTTTTCCCTTGTACTTTTCAAACAAACAAAAATGCAACACCACACTTCGTGCTGAAGTAGTGCTTAAAGGCAAGTAACGCAAGCAAAACTTGAACCACCTCGTTAGTCCCCTCGAAGCTATGTCGGCCTTCTAACGCTCGAAAAGCCTATCATATTATTATAAAAAGTAAATGTGGTATCGTATCAATTAATACTCTTCATCGATTTACCTTGTCAGCCAATATCGTAGAACACGTATCTACAAGGGCCATCTATGCAGACAATACGTTTCTGCCATTCAAACTAACAAAATTAATCGAAATATTCATTATATAATAATAATGATAACAATAATTATTAAATGTGGTCGTATTACCAGAAGTAGCTGACGATAGCCCGCGAGCTACTGAAACAATCAAAGAGCATCGTCATATAGCAGCTGGTAGTCTGTTATGACAACATAACAGACGGTTGAGCAAGTGAACGAGTTAAGTGTTTGTTATGATCTCCGTAGGTGCCAATAGGCAGCATTGGTGTGTTGGTGATCTCGCGGACACAGCAAAATGCTCAGGGTTGTTCAAGGTGAGAACTGAAATTCGGCGTGAATTTTCGCCTGAATTCAACATTTGGCTCCTTGGTCATTTGTGCCGAAACACTTAAATCGATAACGTCCAAAGGACGAGTGAAATCTGTTTGGTCGAGTGTGTTGTTAACTGAGAGCGGTTGTAAATTGCAGTATCGAGTGATAATACAGTATTAGTAAATGTTCGGTTATTTATGAGCTGCTAACGTCGGCCTTTTGAATGTAGCCTACTTTGGAGGGTACATATTGGTTTGTGGTGTTGCTTAGTTTAGAAATCCTTAACCGAATATGTACCTTGAGAACAAATACTTGCTAGCCATTAGGTTAGCGTTCCATTATTATTATACCGAGTTATAGATCGAACTCAAATGCGACAAAATGGCTAAGTATAACAGTAGTCCCCGGATGTATATTGTACATATTAAGAAGAAGAGGTACTTGGCATCAACGTAGGCCAGTGATCATCATATAGCCCTAAAGTGTACCTCCTGAGTACGTAAGGCAGGTTTACCAAATGTACCCTGCTCCATTTAGAAGAGAACAACCACTATAGTATTTTATAGTTCTTGCTTAATTATTAGAGAGTCATTATAAAAGAGTCATTGCACCTGTGTTCTTGTTTTTGATTAATTTATAGCTTCGGCGGCGTATATGTAATGATTACGTCCCACTACATTATAGAAGATGTCATTGCAAATGACTCAATAAAGTACTTGCATGTTTTTCATGTAGATAAGCTTCCACATTAGGCTTTCCTGTAACTAGGTTAAGGTTGGGTTAGGTTATAATTATGGTATTATATAGGTTATTATATTAAACTTTGCGTATTAAATTAGCTTGGCAAAGTGAAAATTCCACGCATTCATTGTGTCCCACTCGAAACAAACCATGAATTTCAAACTTGCTACAATACTGCTAAACTAACCTGAAGAAAGGCAGGCTATACGTTATTTCAGTGTGCCTTTTTACCTCTATTCAGTAGAAAAATAAGTACTGTGTTTTAGCCATGTTGAATATAAATGGGAACATCATTAGTTAATTTCGTGAACATTCATAGTATAGCATTTGACTAGTTTATCCTCACTAAGAGAATGTATTTATGGGCAGTGCATAAAAACGCTCGTATATTTTCCTTGCAATTTTTCTTTAACAATATTAAGTAAATTCATCTTTTACTTTAGTATTTCTCACTTTGACTATATATCTCCTTTATAGTTTTATTCTTGTTTGCTTTGTGTGTACTTGCTTTTTACACGATTCAGGGCTTCGGTGGCAAGTCCAGCGGAGCGGCTTGACCGGCTTTCCGTTGGTATCTGCGTGTCCTTTAAGTACATCGATTAGTTCCAGTGCCGCACAAAAAGAGCAGATTGGTGATCAGCCTGCCGGAAACGATGAAGCCACCCTTACGCGTCCAGGATACTCACCCTTTCAAGTAAGGTTACTAGGTGGTATTACTCACCCTAATGTCGAAATACGAAAGAACTGTAAACGACTTAAAATGAGGTACCGTTTGCTCAGGACCTTACTTATATTTATAGCTCTTGGATATAAAAAAAGAAAATTGGCTAAATTGATGTCAAAGACACAGATTCTGGCACTAACGTTTCGTTTTCTACTTATTTTACGCTTTAACGCAGCTCTATATAATCAGTCCGTTTTTTGTGAAGTAGGATGCTGAACAATTCTACTTCGTACGAAAGCGAGATTCTGAGCGAAATTACTTTATTCAATAAGCTAATAAATAGTACGGTATGCACTGATCCCTAACTGATATCGCATTAACGAATTTCGTAAAAGAAAAGTTTCTTTACCTCAACGTGAAATTAGACTGAAGACATAACTCACTTCTTGTTTCATTTTTTAAACTCAGATCGACTTCAAGACTAATAAAGTGGAGTACGCACTAGCCCGTGCAGATGATTTAGTAAACTGGGCCAGAAAAGGCTCGCTATGGCCGCTGACATTCGGCCTTGCGTGCTGTGCCGTTGAGATGATGCACATCGCTGCTCCACGATATGACATGGATCGTTTCGGCGTCGTGTTTCGGGCTTCTCCGCGACAAGCGGACGTCATTATTGTTGCCGGAACCGTCACCAACAAAATGGCGCCGGCTCTTCGGAAAGTCTACGATCAAATGGTTGACCCGTGTTGGGTGATCTCCATGGGATCATGCGCCAACGGTATGATCATGCCACAAATATAATGTATTGACGTACCGCTATTGATAATTTCAAGTTATGAGAGTGATGCTGGAGTGATGACAGCTTGATTCAGTTGTTCGTTAAACATAATTTTATATTTGTTACCTGATTTTTATGGAAGGTGCTCAATATGTCATATTAATAATGCGTCAGGTTTAGTAGAATGACATCAGTTTTTACGGTTCTGTCGGAACTTGACGTCTTGCGCGCACAGCAAGTGATTTCTGCTCGTTACTACATTAAAGCTAGGATGTTTCAGATGGCGGATGCAACTGTATGCCCCACAAAGAACTGGCTATTTGTTGTTACAAATACCTACGTATGTTGCTATCTGTATTTTCGTCTGGCTTTGCGCACTGGCCATTTAATAAAATATTTGTCCCTGTAAACAGTTTTTTGTGCTTCTCAACGATATGTTTTGGTTTTGCTTTCTTTGCAGGTGGTGGCTATTATCATTATTCGTATTCAGTTGTCCGTGGCTGTGATCGTATTATCCCTGTAGACATTTACGTACCCGGATGTCCACCTACTGCTGAGGCGCTGATGTATGGCATCCTGTTGCTTCAGAGAAAGATTAAGCGTATGAACAGTGCACAGATGTGGTACCGCAAGTAACTGAGAAGTAGCAGTTGCAAACTTATCTCTAGGGGCGAGACGAAAGTAAAATAGAATAGGATGCGTCATCTACAAATGGTACCGTCTTCTTTTCTGAAAAACGGCAAAACGCTTTTAGCAGTTTGTATATACGATCTTGCAGTCGGATGACAATGATTCGGCCGGATGACGAAGGTGACAATAAAATAGAAACCCAAATGAAATGCGAACGTTTATTAAGTTGGGTCAATCAGGCCTGACAATACCGTACGGAGAACGGTTTAGACAGCAGGAATCTGCCTGAAATACATGATAAAATGGTCTGAAAAAAATACTTCGACGTGTAGTCAGATGAAAGATGCCTTTTTGGGTTTATGATGAGCAGCTCTGATGAGCATTGTTGTAGTAAAAGGAAATATAGCAATTAATTATTTCAGAGTTAAGTGATAAATGTAAGGTGGACGGATCACACGTCTATACACACTATACGGCATGCAACAACAATAAATGCAGTCGAAAGTAGACGTTTTAACAACAGTAATATAGAATCTGTTGTCTTTTGGTAAAGACAGTTAGTGTTAAAAGACAAAAAAAAAATTGTTTGCGGATTTTGTGACGCAAACAGTATTTTTTTTAAGGTACATATTCTTTGCATTTATTCAAGGGATCACCTTGAGTCTGTTTTTGTATTCAGTTGTCATGAAAACAGCTTTGAGTGGTTCACCCTTTTAAAGAGATTTGACTTCAAACTCCATAATGACCCTTTACGTTTTCTTTTGGTTTTAATAATTGGTAATTCAGAATGAAAAGTGGCAAACATTAGTCTCATATTTCATAATAACGCTATTTTATAATTGGTGACATTTAGCGGAACTTCTTTGGTCTTCGAGGTGCGCTCGTACACTTCGAAATATAGGAGTGTTTGCTTGTATATTCATTCAGGCTTTTAACAAATAAACCATAGTAAGCCTGAAAAATCACAATTTTTAAGTTTCCGCGAGTATAAGTCCCATTATAAAATTTTAGTAGTGAAGACAAGCTCTGCATTTGCTAAAGGCTCTACAACTAGGAATATCTTTAACCGTTAGTTCAACAAGTGCCCGAAAGGAAACTTTGAACTCAAAAATGAGCACTGTTGAAGACCCTCGATAGATCACAACGAGTTAAGAGCTGTGGTGAAATCGGACCCATCTCAAAATGCATGAGTAGTAGTATTCAAGTTTAACGTGCGTAAAAATGCCATACTTGTTTGCCTCAGTCAACTTAATAAAGTAAAAAAAATTGGCAAATAGTGCTGCGTGATTTGAGCAAGGATAAAAAACAAAAATGTATGGACGTTCTTTTTTGCCCTCACGCTGCTGCAGTGGCCCATTTTTGCACTTAATTGCAACCTGCGATGAACGATCGATTCTCTATGGTAATAAAGCACGATCACATCAATAGGCGCATGCGACTGATGGGGCATCATGCTAAAGCGATTGTATAGCTTTAAGAATATATGGTGTACGTTAGTGGGCTAATACAGGCGTTACGTACTACAGCTTTATGAGTTCTGGTTCGTCTATAATGACTGAAATGTACCGGAAACAATTATTATTACACAGATTATTTTTGTTAATGTTAACAGCTTTTTCGTAAAAAAAATATTTGGATTGTAGAAATTGCTCTTCGAAACTTCATAGATTTTTGTTCTATTACTCTAGAAATTCTATAGCAGCGGAAAAAGCTACCAGCCAGATACCAGGAGGTCGTTGAAATTAAAGTTACACGATTTGAATGAAAATAAAATTGCACATGTAAAAAAAATCCAAACAGCTACAATTCATTACGTTACGTTTTGTACAAAACGGCGACCCAATACTCACAAGAAAACCAGGTTTTAAATGAACGTTTTTGTGTGAAAGGAAGTAGGTAAAGCTTAATGATGGTGTTAGCGTGATAGCCAAATTCAGCCTGGTTATTTGTAAAGTCTAATCCGGGTAAATATCAAAAAGCGCTTGATGCCTTTGGCAAGCAGGTATTACCGTGTTGTGTTTCTGGAGCTGCAGATATTAAGCATACCGATTTAAAAAAATGTATGGCTAAAATTAGAAAGCTGACATGTCGCTTTGTTTATTGCGTTCGTCGTTTAGATAGAAGAATATTTCGCTATTTCCGCGTCTGTGGTCCGGCCGAAATAGAAACTAACTAGAAACACAAACTCTGCCAAACGTCAACAGTTGTTTAATTATTCACTTGAAAATGGTTTGAGAAGGACGTTTGCTGAAAGCATGCGCGAACGGTTAGCGGGACGTTTCTTTATTACAAAATTAGTGCTTCGTATCCACGTCGTATAGCGCAGTCGGTAACGTGTTTGCCTGTTCAACTTAGGAATAGCTTGTGAGGTGGTCTAAGTTTGACTGGCAGTGGGCACATTTCGTTTAGTATTGACAGAAGCCAGCCATCTGAAATACTACCTGACGGCTTGAGTAGCAAACGTAAAACACGAAAAACATTTTTCACACGTTGATTCTATAATAATTATATTTCGAAGTACCGCTCACTTTCTCGAATGCCTCTAGCAAAGCTGAGTTATTAGACTGTTAGCGCCAGCTAAACTTAGCTTGCGGCTTCACCATTGTCGTGTATCGTCGTGACAAGATCAGCGGTGAAACCACGAGGAAGTTCATGACATGTCTTTAAGTTTAGTGGGCAAACACGTTCCTGCTAGATCATTTTACGCAGACGTGAATGAGTCACTATGTAATTAGCGCCACACGGAACAGACGTATAATCAGAGATACACGGCGTTCAGCCGCATACAGAGGATGAGATGTTGGTCTCAGTAAACTTTAAAACGAAGCTGATTTTCTGTAGATTCATGTATTGAAATGGGCTTCGCCTTCACAACAGCCCCTTTATTTATATTTTATTATCCCGGACAGATCAACGAGCCTCAATGGCATGAGACACTCGCGTGTGCTAAATCTCGTGTATGAGTCTCTGTTTCGATAATTGTATTTTTAATATAAGATTAGGTTGTTGCTTGGAATGATGAACTGTCTATTTCGGTTCCTACATTTCACTCAAGTTGTATAGAGCAGGAACTACTGTGCAAGAAGTGCGCTGCGATGACGCTGCGACAACATTTTTTTTATTTATTTTTTTTTAAGGGCAAGAAAATGTTAGCAGTAAAAATATCCAATCGAACCCCTTCTAAGGTTGTGTATTATTGCCCATATAAAACCGGGTATGACGGCGCCTTCGGCAAAGAACGAAATTTGACTTCACAATGTATCAGGAATGGTCAAGCTTTGAAAGGTTAGGTTAGTGACTAAAAAACATTGAATCGTTAACATGCTAGAACACGCATTTTATTCTTCACTTTATTTGATAGGGAGACTATCTCTCAATTTAACTGAAAAGCTACTGTTGTAATATATGCTGTCAGCAGCACATCACCTTTGAACATGCATGAAGTCACATTTTCTTCTTTGCTAACATAAGTTATTTCACTCTCTTCCTGCTGCTGCTACTATTCAGTAGATAAGCAACTGTTACGTACTTAGTGGCGTTGCAGATGTCACATACTCTTTTAAAAATCGTTGCAACAACTTTAGTCCCTTCACTCTGATTGCATTCTTCTAGCTTCGGGTACTTAAGGACGGCCTTCAGTTTTCTACTTCTCGTCTGGGTTGCAGCTTTCGAAAGACAAAATTCTAGAAATTCAGTGACAAGCAACGTTCTGCAAGCGAACTGTTAGTCGAACATCGGCTAATTCTTTCGGTATTCTTTTGGTACTAGTCAGTTGGTCGTACCCGTCCTCACTGGAATTTGATCATTAAAAAACGCAAACCATACACCGGTATTTTTTTGACCCACTATCATTTCCTAGGATTCACTGAAGGGCGTTGAGAAGCTCACCCTTTATCACACATTGAACAAATTCGTTCTCCGGTCTAACAAAACCTGGCCTTTCAGTTGTTCCAAATACTGTAGGTGTTTGAAAATATTCCCAGGCAAGATTGAGTGTGAAGTACTGTGTTCTGCAGATCATTTGTCAATGACATGTAAAATTCGCTGGAAATGTCCCTGCGTTCAGTTTTCCATAATCTATGGTTGTACGATATTTACGGTTTTTCCTTTTGACCAAAAAGCCGAACTGGTATATAAGACTGTGAAAATCGGATCCTTGCGTCACCCATTACTTGCACAACCGAAGGTAAGGTTTGCAGATTTAAAGAAAACAATCAACATGATTTTCATAAAAAGGACAGCCTGCTAGTTCTTCGATGTCAAACTCGGCGGGAAAGTCAATCAGTAGTCACAGACGTCATAAACACATTTTAATATCGGCTTATCAATGCGCACAGTTTAGCTTGAATTTCCAATCGCATATACTCATTAATGATTAGCTGATCTTCTGTGATTATGGTTGCTTCGGTGGGTCATATTATTTTTGTCATATTATTTCGTGCTACTTTATTTGATGTGAGATAAAAACTGCTTAACAATCCAGACACTTTCCTTCAAACTATCCAACGACGTGTGGCTAACCCTGTATATGAAAAAAAGGATACAAGTATTTTCGTTATATAAATAATATTTATGAAAAGTGTGTAATTAACGCTAATTAGTTGTAAACATTATCTCTCTCTCAAACATCGCTTTGGTGTTGTAGCTTTGATTAAGCTGACTATCTAATCACGCCGAGTATCCCTTATACAAATAGAATTAAAATAACGTGGATTTTAGCAAATATTTACCTTTTATTTAGTTGTTCGACATTCTTGTTTCCTCACAATAGCCTTATTGACCCCTGCTGTCCACGCCATTTCGCGACACCTCCTTCACTTAGGTAGACTCTTTCCTACATCTCTTCCATATATATATATATATATATATATATATATATATATATATATATATATATATATATATATATATAGAATGACGAGACAGACGACCATGCACGTCTTTTCCGCTCATCGACGCGTTCAACGCATAGAGGAAAACGCTGCGCAGCAATCAGCGTGAGACACGGTGTTTGCTTTCGACGCTTTCCGCTTTCTCCAATGTATTGATCTTCAGTTTTTTTTTTCTGTTATTACCTGGTTATTTTATGTTCGCATATGCTTTATATCATACTATATGCACTCATCTAAATGTAAGGCCCCTCCATCCTGAAACGGTGTACTTGTCCTGCTGTGCACGTTTCTTTGCTGCTATGGTTACTTCGATGGTGATGTGATGTTCGTGCATATCCTTGGTTCAACTTGTTGTTAGTGCAACAATTTCGAACAAGTTTAGAAATTTCGGTTCTTCTTCGATCTTGCCTGATTTACTTAATACAGACACACACTACTAATAATTTGAGTATGGATGAAAAACATTAGTTTTCATTAATTGAATTCTCGAAAATCCGAGAAGTTTTGTTTCACCCTCGCTAAATCCAAAGTCTCATATGGTTTTCGATAATTCTTGCGTTTCCGAAAATAGAAATTATTGCGCTCTTTGTTTAGCTCTATGGATCAATTAGTTCGCGCAAATGATGTGACATTATGAAATGTGTACTTCTAAAGACACTGTTTTGTACCAAAATTTTTCACAGCCAAATTTTCGTCTTTATCTAAAGGACTTTTATAATCAGCAACAGTTTATCGATTTTTTTTTTGCATTTCGTACACCAGCAATTTTCTTCTGCAACTTGTCAAGTAGTCGTCAACACAAACCGAACTCTTCATTAACTCGCCATAACATCTAAATGAATGGAACCTAACTTTCTAACCTCTCCATTGCTCTATCTTGTTTTGCTTTATGTTTGAATGATTGTTCTCTCCTCATTGAGTCTCACTCGGGTGTAGCGTACTGATCGGTGTATGTTTGATTATCTACTTCGTTGCCTATGGCAGATTCTATAAATGTCTTATAAACGCTTGCTGCATTTCGTCTTAACTATCTTGCTTGGAAACCGTGATAGATTTCAGCTCGGGATCTACAATTTCAAGTTCTTTATAATGGGCTTGTTCCATCGCATTGCCCGTTTACTGGACAAGCCTTCCTGACACCCCAGCTCGAAGCCTTACAAGTACAGTGGTTCTATATCGTTGTTTTTTTTTTATCTTGCTTCAGCTGTTCATCGTCTATCTACGAGTAGATTTTTTTGCATTTACTCATCTCCGTAATGGTTCGCTGGATGACATGTTTGCCCACAAAGACATGGACGACAGTTGTGGCCTTAATTTAAAACGGGGCGTAGACACACTTCGCTTCGAAGTGGAACAGTACAAATGATTTTTATGAATTATTAATAATAATTTTTTTAAACATTTATTTATATATCTTCACCGTATGATCTAGCAATACTATATGAGGAACATAAATGTTAACGTAATAATAATTATTACTCGTGTGAGCCCATTGTTGCAGCTTCTGCTTCTACGTCGTGAACTGAAGTTGTGCGCCACTAGTTTAGCAGCTTTTTAGCGCATAGTTTCGTATATATATAATGATTTTTCTATTCAACATCAGTCGAACTTCACTTCTATCTTGATAAAGACGGAAACACCGGGGAACGAAAAACATCGGTACAGCGAGGTTAGAAGGGTGTCTTTGGAAGCGCACACATTAGCAAAACCTAGTATTTCTTGACTGTTTGGAGTGAATTTTATTGAACTGTAAAGCAAGAAAACTCTTTGCAGCTGTTTCAAGATGGCTATTAATGCTATAGCCAACACAACTGTAATTGAAAAAATAATGCGTTAGAAAAATAATGGGCCAATGTAGTGGTCAAACTGACATTTTACTTGGAAAATTCGACAGGTGCCATTGCACTAATTCTTTTGAAGAATAAGTCCTAGGTAAGCTCTGTCCATTTTACTGAGCGACGAACAGTCGTTGATATATATTAACTGCCTGTTATCGTCGAATGTACCATTATCGTAGTTGCAATGCCGAGTACATCTAAATTATACTCTAAGAATTAAACTAAAAGAAACATTTAAAAATGACGGAACACTTTTTTTAGTAAGCATCTTTAATATTAACAGTAATCAATTATGTTGTTTTTTCTGTTCGTTTCTAAAATTTCATCGAAGCATCCGAATTCATTATAAACCAACAGCGACTTGCTCATCTAATGTGATATAATTTCAGCTTTACGTTATTATTGCGAAATCAACTCAGCAATATGTATTGCGTCCCGTATACTTTCTATAACCACGTAACACCGGCTGTCTGATCGTGTTTACATGTTCGAGTTTTGCGCCAACTGTTAGTCTTTCTTTGCCTGGAAAAGTAACCTCTGAAAACAAGGCGTATCTCGGTACACCCTTTCCGGTTTATTCTCTTTGAAAACGACGTTTAATGTATATATACGATTCTTATTCCGCATTCTACGAGAGAGCCTGCCATACGCTTTCACAAGCTTCCATCACGATACCAGCTTTTTATCATCACTTTCATTATCGTTCTTAAAGCCATCATTAGCGCGACAATTCCCGTCATCAGTAGCAGTACCGTTTTTTTTCACCACACCAACACCACGTTATCCTGAGACGCACGCTTATCTTGCCTGTCTTCTCATGCCAGTGGCACACTCGGTAACAAGCCTTTGTAGCATTGCACATTGACAGACGATACATCCGTGAAGGCTTATAGCGAGGCTAGATACTAAACCGGTACGGTTGCCAAAACACATTTGTGTATAGTACTTTTGTGCAATGATTCATTCTAATGGTAGCGGCTACGGCTTTGGCTCGCATCTTGCATCGGGGACCCAATTCTCTTTATATACTGACAATGGACGACTATCCAATTGGTTTTTGCATTTCAAAATGTGCCGCTACCCCTGCCCTTTTTGCTCTGCTATTTTTACTGGGCTTCCTTTTTTTGTGGTGATTATTGTACATATACAATGAGTTACAGCTGGTCAAACGACTACAATTAAAAGAGCACTTAGGGATGAAGTTTGCGCGTGCAATGCGAGTACTAGTTGGTGGTATTCTGCTATTCTGCTAAGCAGTCCCCCGTTCTCACCTTTGCTCTTTCTAGCTCTCTCGCTCTCTCACTTTCTCTCTCTCTCTCTCTCCATCGTTGTTGTTGTTAATGTTCCGTCGCACAGCTTCATTACTGCATATAAATGACGCAAGTTTTTGGTGGGCTATTTTTATAACTAGTTGTTGTTGTTGTTGTTGTTACTTTTATATAGAGTTGTTATTCGGGAAAATAAAATGTTATAACAAATGGTAGTACTATAGTATAATTCTAATGACCGAGACGTATTCTTTCTCTACAGCTTTCTCTCAACAAACGCAGGCCACACGTCCACCACACACCCGCCCAGTTACACGATAGATCTAGGCACGTCATAACAGCATTTGTTAAAGGTGCATCTATTGCTACCTTCATGTGCCAGGTGCCTTGTCTAATTATTTCGTAAATCTTAAAAGCAAGCTACCTCTCCACACTACCTCATACCTTTTTTCTCTTTTCCTACATTTGCCCAAGCTAGCAAATGGGGCACATCAGCTTTTTGTAAATTTCTTGTTTTTGTTACAACTTTATCTGTTGCCTATTGCTTCTATCCATATGTGTTTAATGTCCTGCATAGTAGCCTCATACACCATTTGTAACTCACTCCATCTTCTCTAGCAGGTATCTCTAAAATGTCTAAACATTCCAATATATTCATTTATATACTTATCGGTGATAACCTCAAGGCACGCCGAAGCCCGAGAAGGTATTCTCCGATATGATTCTAGTTACGGCGGTGGACACCATTTGCTCGAATGTCTAACGAAGACTATGAGGACGCTGAAAAAGATGACTTGCGATCGACCTTGTTTAGAGTGCTCCATCGATCTTTTCCCGTTTCCACCATGATATAGGGCTCTCCCTTTATACTTACTGCTGTCGCAGAGTACTTAGTCTTTACGAGCCTTTCTTCTTTGCCGGGTTCCTGTTTGTTTTCCTGTTCCTCCCGTCTCCTCGGATTCTTTGACACCTTCCTCATCGCTTTGATCTGCCGCTACTGATACGGCTGATGCAGACCCCGGCGACCCTGATCCCCCGGGTGATTCTTCGTGTTGATCAGCCTCGTCTTCAGCCGCGTCGTCTTCCACGCCATCTGCTATGTCATCTGCTACATCCCCGCCAGCCACATTTGGCTGGTCTTCCTCGGCCTTCTCGCTCTCAGGGAGTAACGCCTCGTCTCCCTCGAGGTCAGATTTCTTCCTACGAATCAATTCCTCGTCGCGGTTACTCTTCGACATACAGCAATAGCTGATGATTAGGGCAGCGGGGATGCCGACGGCAAGCACGTAAATGCCCCATAGCCAAGGGTACTGCGTCGAATAGTCGACAAACGAGGCCATTGTCTCGTCAAAAAATGACTTGTTGTCCTTGTCAAGGTTTCGGATTTTTAGCTTAAAACTGTCTTCTGCATACTGTGTGGCAACCGTTCGATCGTCGGTGATAATCAGATTATCAAACAAAATTCCATCTGTCATTGACCACAGCTCGAAACCAACGGCAACAGCTGTTGGAATAGAATTAAACGGTCGTTCGTCGAAGAAATAATCCGGGTTGGGTATCTTGCGTGGCCGCCACTTGCCCTTGTATGCCGGGTTATCAATCATGGGCGGATGCCAAACACCCTTGTATTTCGGATTTGCGATTACTGGAGGTTCCCATTTACCGCAGCCTACTTCCTTGCACTTCGGATTATCGACTAAGGGCGCCTCCCATGTACCGTCCATATCCTCGTCCCAGTCGTTAGGTTGTTTGGCCTCCGGATCAGGAACAAGAAGCGGTTCGTCATCGAGCCACCCAATCGGTTTCTCGGCCTTTGGGTCGGGAATCTCGGCGGGCTGGGTGTCATCCCAGTCCTCTGGTTTGACCGCCTCAGGATCAGAAATCTTCTCGCGTTCGTCCCAATCGGCAGGTTTTACATCATCTTTGTCTTCAATCTCCTTTGGCGGATAGATTGGCGGATCCATGTCATTCGACAAACTCCCCTGAACTTCAAGACGACCATCGATAGAGATCTCGAATGTGCTGTCTCGATTCAGTACCAGCGTGTATAGATGAGGTCGTTTATCGGTGAACACATCGCCAAACTTCCCATTCATCGCCTTGCCTGCATTGACAGCATCCTTCCAGTGTTTCTCCTCGAGTTGACCCGTTATCGGGTTCTTATGCTGGATAATAAAGTGAAGCTTCTGCTGCAGGCCGCATTTGTCCGGGCCGAACATAATGCTATACGGCGTTTTATCGTTGAGCGACGCAAGGAGATCAGGCGTGCTCTTGCCATCCGTCGGTTGACTAAGCAGTTTCAGGTAAGCGCCACCACATTCCATACCATTCATAAACTGAACTTCGTACTGGATGACAATTGGAAGGAAATCAAACAAAAAAGGTTGTTTCAATGCCGCACTAATTGCATGATGACTCGCTTTGGTCTTTAATACTAATCCGAAATCCCCATGTAGCCTATTCTTGTCCTCTGAATGTCCAATTTCAAACTTTCCGTCATACGCAAACTCTTGGCCATCTTTCTTCGCCTTGGAAGAGACCCATCGCTGGCGGAAGTCCTGTTCAATATCAAAATTTTCCGCAAAATACACTTTACCAGCGGGAACTGGCGACTTGTAAGTTGTTTCGTCTGAAACCGTTGCCTGTGTTGACGCCAATACATAAAACACCCCGACGCACCCTAACTGTAGGCAGTACGCCCATTTCACCATCGTGGTACCTCTGCTGTAGGATCTGAAATGAGTTGTCAACAAACCAATTATTAATTGACCACGTTAATTAGGGACATATGAAAAATCGGTTAATCGATTCGCGGCTTTGCAAGCAACGCAATAGAAAACTAGATATGCGGAGAAAGTTTTTGCATATATTAATCCGAACTGTCTACTGATAATAAAATAAATGGTAAAGCATGGATGGTGGAACACCACAATGGTAAAGCAATCGATACGACCTACAGCATACGTCGCTTAACAATGAATATTCAATATGCGTAGTGTTCATAAGTAAGAAGGACATACACATTTTCTGTTAATTGTATATTCAGTGTCGTTCTCTTTACAAAAGCGCATGCATGTAATGTTTTAAGGTCAGTGTTTTGTTATATATAGCAGCATTGCAAACATGAAAATACTTGAATTCCGATAACACGAACCAAGACTTAGAACCAAGAATTAGTCCGTTCTTCTATTTCTATTTGCATGGCCTGGTACTTTTGCTTTCATTTGTTGACCCAAGTGCAAAACGGAATTTTTTTGCAACTTCTTTCTTTAACCGTCGCATAAGGCGAACTTCTGTCGGATAAATTTCAGCTTAGCTCATGCTAGCCGAGCATGATAGCATGAGTAAATGTCAACGTTACATTTACTTCAACTTTTTGTATTGTGCAAGGGTAGGCCGTTCTACCTTTCTAGCTGTGTAGACAAGAAAATAAGCAACTAACACAAAGCACACAAAATATATGGAACGTGAAGGACAAGTATACATGTGTACTGCGCCTGTAACATAACAGTATTTCTATCTTCTATGTCATGCTACTTGGCAAGAGTAAAACCGACTAAACATCACTAGCAGCACCGTAGGGAGGCGTCGGATATTGAGGCTCGGAGAAACTTGTCGCCCAATGAACCACGAGCAGTAAACCAGGAGCCAATGAACTCCCGGCAATAGCCAGCGGACGTCGATCTTACACCCTATTAACAGGGGAAATCCAGTCGTTGCAAGTGAATACTTAGCCATGCTATTTCGATAAAATCAATAATCGTTTCAAACTTCAGCTATTGTTTAGGTAGGTTTAGGGACTGGTAAAAGACTTCGTATGGAAACATAAGTTAATATAAAAGATGAATTAATCACACGTTACCCGTATCCTTTCATGGACATTTCGATTACTTTACCTCTCGCTAGATTTCTTCAGCCTTAACAGCAATATAATTACACCAGGAAAAGAAAAATTCAGTCAGCAAATGAACCCATCAAATAGCGCTCATCAGCAACATAGCCCTTGCACACGATTACCAAACTGCCGCAGATCTTTTACAAAAATATTCAAATCACCTATCGTAACAACCCAGTTCACCCGGCAGAAGCACCGTGCTGATGCTTCTATACAACTTAGCGTCACCCTTGTACTTCTCGCTACGAGCGGAAACGGGTAAAGATCTTCAGAACTGGCGCTGTTCACGACCTTTCGCCCTCTTTTCTTCGTTATTTTGCAACAATATAACAAGGCAAAAAATGCGCGTATTAAGACATAACAGGTCTCTCCATTATTGAAATCGCTCACCGGATGCGAGTTATTCTGGAGAGCGCGGGACGAAGTCAATGAACGCTAAACGCACTGCATCTCCATTTGCCTCAACACAAACGATACGGCTTGATGAGCTCGTACAGCATTTTACAAGCCACTGCAGAGCTCGTTTACCGCGTCAACGGTAACAGATCAGACTAATATGACAGGGACGAAACGGCAGGTAGAGAGACCCATCATAACGATTCCGCGCTGAGCGTTACCACCGCCAGTATCCTTTTTCGGGTAACGTGTCGCATGAGGATCACGTCGTAAATACAGTTCTTGTCTTACGACCAACCAAGAAGCGAGGGGTCCCCTCGTACTAAGGGTAAAAACTGGTTGGCCAAGTTTACCGATAGCTTACTTGACCGCTGGTAATGGGATAGAACAAGAACATTTAACCTAACCCGGCTAACGCTAAGCTCGAGTTGTGTCCTCTCAGCTTACCGCAACTGCACTCGTTCTTTAGTACCGGAAGACCGAACGCTATATAATATCTTGATCTTGGTTAGAGGCTACACCGTCCATGAGGTCTGGTATTGCACGAACCGTTTCCAACACAAATTGCGGTTTCTAAGTCTTCTTCATGCTGTTCTCTACATATGCAATCGGCAAGTCATAGACCAACGACTCTGGATTGCAATAGTCGATTAGCGCTTAATGTCGGCTGCCTACAGTTCATTGCTCTTGTTAATTCAATCGGTGGCTCTGTCCGCAACGCAAACAACCTCTAACAGCGTTTGATACACGTCATCATTGCCACGCAAAACATCGTGTTGGTTTACGGTTACTAGCTAATCTTGCGCTAAGAGGCACTACCCAAGTTCTAATCGTTATTTGGCTAGCTGCGCACAAAACCGTTCGAGAACTCTCTAATGGCTGTTATTCAGAGACTGTCTACAATGACTAAGACACGCTTGAAACATTTAGCCCACGTTCGGCAATTAAATACAAATGAGCCCTGATAAAGAAGCCTTACCTCTTTACCTTACAGTAATGGATGCAGAAAATACATTATTGCCGTTCTGCGACCGAACACGGCGTGCATATCGATCGTTTGTTGGTACAACGCCTCACAACACCCTTATAAAAATTCGCTAAATATTTTTCATTTGTAAAGAGCCCGCTCCAATGTGTGTGTTCTTTTCCAAACTATTTTCCTGCATAAACCAAGTAGGTCTTAAAGATTTCTGGGCGCTCTATATTCCGTTTACAACCCATGCAACCAGTAAATTCACAGTAGGACAGTCTGCGTCTTTTAATTAGAGTCGCCTAGCACTACCACATCACCGTAAAATTTCACTACAATCGATTTCCGTGGTCAGGTTAAGCTGCGCAGGCAATCACCATCAGCCGGTAAAAATCAATCGCACCTATCGCGAAATCCCATGTCATCCGTGTGGTTGTAACATTTGGTGCCCAGACCACGACCGATACTGCATCCGCGCCAAATTTTTGCGCTTGCGTTTATACAGGCCTCTTACAAGGATCCGATAACACGGTATATCTAAGAATCTATGATTCGTAGTGTGCAACTGGCTAGTGGAATGTGCTATAGTATCGATGATGTGCTTGGTCTACCAGTTATCGTCCGCATTGTATCGTTAGAAAGACACTTGAGGTGCGTAATATGAGCTCACTAAGCTTCGAGGGGACTCACATAATCAACAGCAAATTGGGCAGACGAATCTTGCCGTTGCTTTCCTTCTGTACATGGACAGTTTTGCAAAAGATAACCGCAAGCCTTACCTAATGCGACGAATTGCCGGCTCCGCTCGTCGAGGTACAACACAGCTGAAGCCCTGCTCACGGAATTCTAGATGACACACGGACACTGCCGCTTGGCATTTTGCTATTGGCCAGTTTACTAGAGGGCGCTCAATGGACGCGGGAAAATTCAAAATGAATCACCCACAAATGTGAGACCCAAATACTAAAGTTGCATGCCGCAAGAATGAACGAGCTTATGGTGGTAACAAACGTATATGATGATATATTGCAAAAATAGCCAGGTTATATGATAAGCAATCCAATTTTTATATGAAGATCAAATGAATCAACGCAATAAATGTGCTAATTAAGAGACAAAATTTTAATGGCGGTCTCTTTCTTTAGATAAAAGCAAAATACGTACATTACCATAAACACGCACTTTGAATGAAGATCGAAAAGTGTAATTTTGGTATTTTGTGTGCATGATGCTTTTGATTTCCTCTTTCTGTATGAATAACTGTTCAAAGATGATAACATCCAGATGTTTCCAAGAGCTGTTCATCGTATTACGGTTAGATTTACTAGTACCAAAATTTGACATTCACTATAGAATTAACTGGTATGATTAATTGTGTAATCCGCATAGTGGAATTACACCAATTCAACGCATTTGCAGCTGACACGTTAGAACCACACGAGAAGTTCGTAGCATTGTAAGGTCGTGTATTATTCTGCAAAGACGAAGCTGAAAAGGAAATAGTATACTTTTCGCCAACAAATGTCATTGTTCGACCTCCAGCTAATGATGCCATATTTCAGCGAAGAAAACCCAACATGGCTGCAATAAAGTTCATCCTGTATGTGTGATAAAGGTTTCTTCTTTTTGAGATTTATTATGCAGAAAACTTCCGTCAATACGTATGGATTGTTATGGTCGCTGGTTAGATGGATTGAATCGGAACAATAAAGTGACCCAAGCAAGTATTAGCTTTTAGGCATTGACCATATGTCTTTTACGTAGAACACAGTTGATCTGACAGCTATACAGTGTAAATTGCTCATCTTCATTGGTAGGAAAACCGCCACACAAGTTCCGTTGGGACAATAAACCGTATCTACAATGAGCAAAGTATATTTTGAAAACAGATGACAGTCAAAATATAGTAAGTATTTTTTTCTTCCGTTTGTTTTCGAAAAGGGCAGTAGAAACTTTTTTTTGGATTTTGGAAGTACGTTTTGCTATGCAAATAGCTGCATGTACGAGATTAATAGCAAGACGCATAATAAGCAGATGTAGAAATTTTTTTTTATTCGTAATGGAACATTCCACTGATAACTCACAGATTCTGTTACTCGGTATACCTTCCCTTTTATTATTATTATTAACGAACCACTAATATCCGTAGCAGCTGCCTGTGCACATATTCAAATAGAGCTGCTAGAGCCAACCTGAATGGATGATTTCATGGACTGTATTGTTTGTCAACAAACCGGCACGAGCAAGAGAATTTACGAACCATAGACTTGCAAAGAGGCTATCCTTGAAAAAAACACTTTGCGATAGAAGTGATTCGGTACCCCTTTATCAACGTGGTGTACGTTGTGCTTCTAATAGAGGCATCTGTTGTGCTAACAGCTTTCAAGTGGTGGTTGTTGAAGTTCTCAAAGTTTAGTAAGACGATTTTTGAAATACAGTCAGTGTCGGTGTATAAGGATTTTCGGTGGGTAGCTTATTAGTTAATATTTTTATGTAAATGTGTTTCGCGATATAAAAAGCCATTTGGTTGTTCATAACAGGCGAACTCCCTGTTATCTGGATTCAACATGTTAATTGAAATCTAGTTTCGTGTTCGATTCTATTCAGTTAAGTCTAATCATAGCAAGCAGGATACAAGAAGTTTCAAGTAAAAATAATTGGAGATTTTGAAACAGCAGGATACGATTATTCTAATCTAAACTGACCATAGTTAAATACTTTATATGGGCAAGATCAACGATAATGTCGAGAAAGTTTCCGTTGTAAACGAATCAAAGGCCATTATTAGATTGTAAAATAGTCTGAAAGCTGCAGCTGTTTTAACTTGAGATTGTCCCCAGTTCGAGCATACTTATTTTTTCAATTGACGTGAGGCGAATATGTACAAGCTAATAAATGAAAATTTATATTCTATCATTCCTAATAGAGAGTAGAATACCAACTGCTCAGACAGACGTAACGCGTTATGAAGATCTGACCTCAGATTACGTTTAATTTCATGTAAATTTGGTATTGACAAGTTTTCTATTGTTAATTTAGATCAAACTGAATAGTAAGCTTTAGTGTTACAAATGTCACATAGAATTCGACCGAATCATAACATATAGCAAATAAATGAGAAGATAATGATGAAGATGATCATAGCTGGTGTCCTTCGAATATAATACCTTTCGTCTTTGTTTGCCCTACATGTATATTTCAGAAACATGTCTCTACAGAGCTACCTACAGGACGTGAATGGTTCGATCCGGTATAATGAAGGCGAAAAACTAGCCCGCCTCCTATCACTGCGGGATCCTCACGTTGAATCCCCACGCCTTTTCGCCGATGGAGATAGCATTGGACGTTTTATTCAGAAGGCGTTAAGATCCCCCTGGGATGAACTCGTCGATTTCCACGCTCGTTGCGTTCAACATGCACGTAATGAAAATTTCCTACGCGCATTTGAAGAGCAACAGGCATTCATCCAGGTAGAAAGCGAAGCATTATTTCACTTTGGTAGAAAATATAGTATGCGAATCAATTATACGAAATAAGACGAAAGAAAATACCCTTTCCCCCCGAATTATACCTGGAAAACTCTCATTTTAGGGAAGATAGCGGACCTAAGGTAAAACAGGAAAAGCTTTGAAGCAAGTGTAGACCAGATACCAGCGTTGGAACTCATTCCTTGTGCACGTGTATTGGCGAATATGTCCCATCATATTTGCACGTGTCTAGTTTACATTTTGTGTTTATCCATATTAAGTTCTCCTGATATACTCTTACGTACGTTGTGCAGGTGTTGGTGAAGATCCTGCAAACACAAAAGGAAGAAAACTGGTGCTTGCCCTTAATGTACACAGCATGTTTGGACATTCGCCTGCTGGGTATCAAAGCGGACCGGCAGGCGAAGCAACGCATGAAAAACTACAAGCCAGGCGAGCTTTTGGAGAAATCGGCCGAAAGCGTCATGAGTTGTTTCCGAGTTTGTGCAAGTGATAATCGCGCCGCAACAAAGGATTCGAAGCGGCTTGGTATGCTGCATTTAGTTAATCAATTGTTCAAGATCTATTACCGCGTAAACACGTTGCACCTATGCAAACCCCTGATACGCGCCATTGACAACTCGCCATGCAAGGAAGAATTCTCATTGTCACAACAAGTTACATACCGCTATTTCGTGGGTCGTAAGGCCGTTTTCGATAACGAACTTAAAGAAGCCAATGATTATTTGTCGTTTGCCTTTAACAACTGTCACCCTGAAGCAAAAACAAATATTCGTCAGATTTTGATCTACTTGATCCCCGTTAAAATGCTCCTGGGTTTCCAGCCATCGACAGCGCTACTAAAAAAGCATGATCTCATGAAGTTTGCGCCGATTTGTGAGGCCGTCAAAAAAGGGAATGTGCTAAAGTTTCAGGAAGAGCTTGACATAAATGAAGCGTACTTTTATGGCCTTGGTGTATATTTGATCCTCGAACGATTGCGAATGGTCTTGTATCGAAATCTGTTCAAGAGAGTATTTCTCATTCTCGAAACGTATCAAATTCCTATTGAAGCATTCCTTGTAGTTCTTCAGCTACAGAAGGTCGAGGACATCGACCTCGAGGAGACGCAATGTATTTTGGCAAATCTTGTTTACCACGGCAAGATTAAAGGCTATATATCTTTGCAACATTCGAAGCTCGTCGTAAGCAAAAAAGATCCGTTTCCTAAACTCAGCTCAATAATTCAATGAGAAATTACGTTAGAAATTATTCTATGAAAAGAAAAAATACAAAACGATGGCCTATATTGTTATCTTATTCCAGTAAACTTCATGAAATACATTGTTTGTTTCGTAACACCGCCATTAAAGTTGCGATGAAGCTCTTTGAACATTGCTATTATCACTCCATAAGTGAATGGAAGTTTACTTATGGAGTAATAGTAGCCAATTAGTACTTTGACTGTTTAAAAATACCAGTGTATTTCATAAATTAATGACAAGTAAAGGTAATTATCTTGAATAAGGCTAAGAAAAGTACGAAATCTTATAGGATTAATTGGATTTAGATCAATCTAACAAATATCTGTCCGCTAACCAATGTATAGAAAGGTACATATGGTTTAGTCCGTGAATAATCGTGACTGTGTGCAGTATCGTTTACA